AAAAATGCTGACACATACATTTTGTGCTCTGAGCATCATAACTCGAGAGCCCGGCTTCCGAAATTCTTCAAAACTTTTTTGGTGCATATTTGGACACTGAGAATCATTTGACATCTAAAATCAAAGCTAGAAAAATTCTGGAAAAAAAACTTTAATTTGAATTCTCTGACCACTGTTACATCTGAAACTGCTCTGAAAATTCGGAGAATTTTTCAAAAAACTGATTTTTATGTTTTTTGATTTTACAGTACCTGTACCTTGGCATTTTTCGAGAACACATGCGACGACTCCACCATCACCACACTGGAGACGTTACGATTCAGAAGACGTTCGGCAAATCGTGTCGAGTGGAAATTGAACAGGGTCACATCGATGTCCGAGAGTGATGTTGTCATTTTTGAGGATCTCTGAAAATTTTTGGGTTGAAAATGTTTTTTTTTTTTTGAAAATTTAATTTTTTTTTAATTTTAGGTTTTTTTGAATTTCAAAAATTTTCAAAAAAAATTGAAAATCTGAATTTCAGAATTTAAGAATCTCAGAATTTGTAATTTCAGAAATTCAGAATTCCAGAATCTCAGAATATCAGAATCAAAGAACTTCAGAACTTCAAAATTTCAGAATTTCAGAATTCCAGAACTTCAGAATTTCAGAGTCTTAGAAATTCAGAATCTCAGAATCTCCGAATCTCAGAATTCCAGAACTTGAGAACTTCAGAATTTCAGAATTCCAGAACTTCAGAATTTCAGAAATACATGAATTTTAGAATCTCAGAATATCAGAATCCCAGAACTTGAGAACTTCAGAACTCCAGAATTTCAGAAATTCGGAATTTCAGAATTCCAGAACTTCAGAATTTCAGAACTTGACAATTTCAGAATATCAGACATCCAGAATCTCATAATCCCGGAAACTCAGAATCTCAGAAATGCAGAATTTCAGAATCTCAGAATTTCAGAATTCCAGATTTCCAGAATTTCAGAATTCCAATATCTCAGAATTTTAAAATTTCAAAAATTCAGAGTTCCAGAATTTCAGAATTTCCGAATTTCAAAATTCAGAATCTCTGAATTTTTAACCTGTAACGATTGCATCAAAACAGACAGCGCCCATTTGATGGGTGCGTGACCATCAGCTCGATTCTCTTCGGCGCCTTCTGAGGCCTCTGACGTCTTCTTTTTCTCATTTTCGATGACGTCACTTGATGACGTGGATTCTGGAGATTCTAGCGGTTCAGAAGACGTCGTCAGAAATTCGAAATTCAATTCCGAAGACGTCGGATTCGAATCTTCTGGAATCGACAGCCATTTCTCTGGATCAAACACCTGGGAGCAGTCGATGATTGTGGATTCTGGAGGAGGATTCTGGAAAACACTCGATTTTCAAATTTTTATAAAATTTTGAAAATTCAATTTTTTAACTTTTTCAAGATTCAAAAAATTTACCTGAAAAGCGACGGTTGGAAACTTTCGAATTGTAGAAATCCATAGAATTTTTCGAGGAAATCGCATTTTTATGAATTTGGAGCTGAAAGTGAACAATGGATTTTTCGAAAATGAAAACATTCAAAAGTTTGAAATCTGAAAATTCAAAAAAGTTGAAATTTTCAGAAGATCGGAAAATCAGAATCTCGGAATCCCAGAATCCCAGAATCCAAGAACCTCAGAACTTGAGAATCTCAGAATCTCAGAATCTCAGGATCTCAGAACATCAGAATCTGAGAATTTCAGAATCTTAGAATCTCAAAATCTTAGAATCTAAGAATTTCAGAATCTCAGAATTTCAGAATTACAGAATTTCAGAATTTCAGAATCCCAGAAATTTAGAACCTCAGAATCTCAGTTTCTCAAAATCTCAGAATTTCAGAATCTGAAAATCTCAAATTCTCAGAATCTCAGAAATTTAGAATTTCAGAATTTCAGAATCTCAGAATTCCAGAATCCCAGAAACTCAGAATCCGAGAATCTCAGAATCTCAGAACCTCAGAATCTGAGAATTTCAGAATCTTAGAATTTCAGAATCTCGGAATTTTAGAATCTAAGATTTTCAGAATCTCAGAATTTCAGAATTTCAGAATCCCTGAAATTTAGAACCCCAGAATCTCAGAATCTCAGAACTCCAGAATCCCAGAATCCCAGAAGTTCAGAATCTCAGAATCCCGGAAACTCAGAATCTCAGAACCTCAGAATCTGAGAATTTCAAAATCTTAGAATCTCAGAATCTCAGAATCCCAGAAATTTAGAACCTCAGAATCTCAGTTTCTCAAAATCTCAGAATTTCAAAATCTGAAAATCTCAAATTCTCAGAATTTTAGAATTTCAGAATCTCAGAATCCCTGAATCTCAAAACCTCAAAATTTCAGATTATTTGTGAATTAAATGTATGTTTTTATTCTGGAAAAAATGTCTGTTGTTATTCTGGAAAAATTAAATGTCTGTTTTTATTCTGGAAAATGCCTATTCATGACGAGAAACTCCCGAAAAACATGTTTAGATTGCGTAAATTTCATTCCAGAGCCAGTTATGGCCGCTTAAAATAAAACAAAAAATTTTGCAAAATTTTTGGGATCGGGAGAATCGAATCTACAACCTTCCTCCTCTGAACTTGCCATTTTACCACTTTACCACACTGCTGATTGAAATCTATTGTTTTAAAAGAAATACACTATTCCGTGAAAAAAATTTCACGAGAAATTGCTTAATCATAGGGAAACTTTTCTAGGTCATAACTCAGCTCACGTGAGCATTTTGCTGATTTTTTAACAGATTTGGAATCCTCATAAGCTCTTCTATCTGCTCCCAAAATTTCAAAAAAAGTTTAACCCGCTCCCTCAAGTAACTCCCTTGTTAGAAATTCAGTTTTTACAATTTTAGAAAATCTCGAAATTCAAAAAAGTCTAAAGTGTCGAAAAATTCAGAAACTTGAAATTCCATAAAAAAACGAATATTTAGGAAAGTTGAAATTTTCAAGAAATCCAGAATTTTCAGAAAACCAAAAATATTAATTGGCTTAATTAACCAAAAATCAGAAAAAAATCCGAAAAAATCCATCATTTGATTTATTGGAAAATTGCGTCGAATTGAATGTACCGTAACCACCCAAGCCGCCAACTTTGAGCCCCTATATCTTGGTTACTGTGAAAGATACCGAAGAGTGATCAACTGACAAAATGTTCTTCATGAAATCAGGAACATTTTATCAGTTGACCAATTTTTGAAATCTTTCACGGGAATCGAGATATATGGGCTCAAAGTTGGGCCTACGGTAATAGAAGAAGAGAGTCAGAGAGCAAGATTGGAAAAAACCAGCGAAAAAAATTTAGATGAAAATTGCGATTTTTGAGATTTCAGCCAATGAAAAAATAAAGGGGAAAATTGGTAAAAAAGTGGAAAATAGCTTTCAAAAATTGAAATTTTTTCAGTTAAAAAATTCAAATATCATATAGGGATAGGGATAAAAATGCAGGATTTTTCAAGTATTTCAAAAAAATCAATAAATCATTTATCAGCTTCCTTCGCATCAACATCTCTAACATCTCTGGTTGGCCTTCCGACGATTCCATCGTCTTCCATCAGAAAATCATTGAACATCTCCTGTAGCTCCCATCTGGCCGTCGGATCGTTCGACTGAATTTTCATACGTTTTCCGCCATTGCTCATTGTTATTTTGGCTTGAAGAATCGGAATATTGAGTACTGTAGTTTTTTGGTTTTCCGTCGTCTCTTCGTGTGGGTCCAGGTTTCGTTTTCGAAGCTCGCGGAGCAGTTTGACAAGGGTGACTTTTCCGTATTTCTGTTTGATGACCGGGTAGTTGGATGGGACCAATTTGAAGTCGTCGTTGTAGGCGGAGAGGTTGCAGGCAACTGGAAAATTTTAGAATTTCAGAATTTTAAAATTTCAGATTCTCAGTATTTTAGAATTTCAGAATGTTAGAAATTCAGAATCCCGGAAAAACAGAATCCCAGAATCTCAGAATTTCAGAATATTAGAATTTCAGAATCTCAGGATCTCAGAATGTCTGAATTTCAGAATCTCGAAATTTCGGAATCGCAGAAACTCAGAATCCCAGAATCTCAAAATTCCAAGATCCTAAGAATGTCAGAATATCAGAATCTCAGAATCCCGGTAATTCAGGATTGCGGAATTTCAGAATCCCAGAATCTTAGATTTTCAGAATCCTAGGATATCAAAATCTCAGATTTTTAGAATTTCGGAATCTCCAAATTTCAGAATTTCAAAACTTCGGAATTTCAGAATCCCAGAATATCAGAATCCTGGAAATTCAGAATCTCAGGTTTTCAGAAATTCAGATTTGTCAGAATCAGGTTTTCAGAATCTTCGGAATTTCAGAATCTCAGAATATTACAACTTCGGAATCCTAGAATCCCAGAATCCCAGAATCTCAGAATCTCAAAATTTGAGCCCATCCAACCTGAAGCGATTGCCAACTTTTTCGTCGGATGCTGTTTGAATCGTAGATCTCTGACGACATCCGGATGCACAGACACCGTGACGGTTTTCGTCTGATCTCTTGTCATTTTCCACAGTTTGACTGTCTCGTTGAACTTGATTGGCCATAGGTTCTCCTGGAGTTCTTTATTGATTTTTCAACATTTTCCAAAAAAAGACTTTTCTTAGAATTTTTCAGGGTAAAAATGTCTGAAACTCACATATGTGATCTTTAAGTCTGGCCGATTGAGCACTGGTTGCGAATAGGCGGACGGGCAAATGACGACCTGCAAATGTGCTCAATTGATAATTTTAGAAATCTAAACTTTTAAAAAACCGAAATAAGATTGTCAATAGAGCGAGTTAGCGTTTTACGAAATTTTTTTAATAATTCTCAATGGCGCGCACTTGCCTTCGGCTTCCACTCCTGCAAATTCTTGTCCAACGTGGCGAAGTCCATTCGAAAATCCATTGGAATGTTGATAAATTTGATGGGCAGGTTGCGGAACGGTTCTCGAACCTCTTCACATGGCAAATCGGAATCTGGAATTGAAAAAATCAAAAAATTTCAGATTTTCAGCCAAAAAATCGATTTTTTTCTAAAAATTTGAAAATATCATTTTGTCTTTTTGTTGATTTTTTTAAAAGGAATTTTCGCGTTTTTTCCAGATTTCCACAATTTTTTTTTCAGATTTTCAGCCAAAAAAAAATCGATTTTTCGAAAAATTGAAAAAAAAAATCAATTTTTTTTGAATTTTTCAAATTTTCAAAATTTAAGCGGAATATTAAAGACTGAAAGAAAGTTATTTTCAGATTTTTAGTCGAAAAAATCGATATTTTCTGAAATTTTGAAAAAATCGATATTTTCTGAAAAATCGAAAATTTCATTTTTTTTTCAGAATTTCCAAATTTTAAGCAAAAAATTGGTAGCTGAAAGTTATACCAATAAAATTATTTACGTAATTTATTTTCAGATTTTCAGCTAAAAATGGATTTTTCGAAAATTTGAAAAAAAATCGTTTTTTTTTTTAATTTTTTCGAAAACATTTTCCAATTTCAGTCAATTTTTTAAAAAAAAACCAAATATTTCCACTTCCCGCCGTTTCTCAGTGGAGCGCGTTTGCTTTAAAACTTTTTTTCTTTCACAAATTTTCAAACGAAATCCCTTATTTTCCACCGCATTTTCCCCTGCTGCGGTTTTTCTGCTTTCTCTAACCACCCTCTCCATTTCCCACACTCTCACTCTCCGCCGTCTTCTCACTCCCCCGACCAAAGTCATACGACCAGCCGCACCGCTTGGTCGGCCGCGCGCTGGTTTGTTTTGCTCTCTGCGTCTCTCCGTTTTCCTCTCACTTTCCCCCCGTTTCTCTGCGTCTCTCCGCCGGTTTTTCTCTCGTGTCGTTGCCACATATCCAGCCGGATTTTCGTCATTTTTGCTTCAAAATTCCTCATTTTTTCCGGAAAATTTCAGCCAAATTTTGTTTTTCAGCATGAATCCCGATTCCAGTCAAAAAACATGCGAACTACTCTCAAAATTCATGATCTCTCAAGGAATTCCCCTGGCGAATATTCGAAATTCGGCGTTTCAAGACCTTCTAGAACATTTTGAGCAGCCAGATTTCGAGATTCCAACCGAGAAGTGTCTAGAGGACTCGTTGAAATGGGCGGAGCCAGAGACGATGGATTGCAAAGTGGGCGGAGCGTTAAGTATTACTGTAGATTTGGCGGCCGAAGAGGATGGAACCGACGAGAAGTGGATCGTTTTTTCATGTCATCACTTTGAGGATTTTCATAAAAGAACGGCGGTCGTGCATTTTGAGAAACTCGAGATTGCTCAGTGAGTTTTTGGTGTCAAACTACGGTGGCCTAAAAAACTCAACTTGCAAAAGTTAGGGCACCGTGTTAAATGACCTGGAAATCAGCTGATATTCACCTGATGTGTTTCCTAGGACATTTTAACATGGTGGCCTAACATTTGAAAAGTTGAATTTTCTAGGCCACTATAGTAAATGGCCTAGAAATGACCTTGTTTCCTAGGCCATTTCAACATGGTGGCCTAACTTTTGCAAAGTTGACTTTTCTAGGCCACCAAGGTAAAGGGGCTAGAAAACTCATCGGTAGAATATTGGGTAATTCCTAGACCAAAAACGTTGGTGGCATAGAAAACTCAATTTTGCAAAAGTTAGGCCATCATGTTAAAGAGGCTAAAAATCGCCTGACGTTCACCTGGCATGCTTTTTAGGCCATTATAACATGTTGGCCTAGTTTTCGCGAGTTGAATTTTCTAGACCACCATAGTAAATGACCTAGAAATGACCTGTTATTCACCTGGCATGTTTCCTAGGTCATTTTAACATGGTGGCCTAACTTTTGCAAAGTTGAGTTTTCTAGGCCACCATCATTTTTCGAAGGAATTTTCGAATTTTTTACAATTTTTGAATGAAAATTGACGAATTCCGAGTCGAATATCCAGAAGTTTCTGTGTGTCTGATTGTCCGGATGTCCGCATTTTTTCGAATTTCCAAGTTTTTTGGTTCAAAATTCGTCAATTTTCTCCTTTTTTTAAAAAAAAGTTCAAATTTCTGCGTGTCCATAAATCCCGATGTCCCAATTTTTCAGATTCAACTGGCCCACTCTCTGGTCCCGAATCCACGTGGCAATCACCGCCGCATACACCAACTTCCACACCGTCAACATCGTGTGCTCGAGCCCCGAGCTCGCCGAGATCTTCCGACAGCCTTCAGAATCCCGAAATTCAGAAGACGTCAGACGCAACGACTACATATGCTTCGCGTTCTATGTCGACAAATTCGCTCGCCAGATTTTGGAAATCGACGAGGTGAAAAAATCGATAAATCGACTTCATCGATTTTTGAAGGTGTTGAAAACGGTGCCGGAAATTTATCGATTTTTTGTGGAGTGAGTGATTTTTTTTGGAAAATTCCAAAAAATCCAAAAATTCAGATTTCAAAAATCCAAAAATTGGGACCCGAAATTGCCGACAATCGATTCAAAGTGCTGGCAATCGGAGCTCTTTCTGTTCACCAGATGTTTAGAAATGGTGGGAATTTGAATTTTTTTGAAAGAACAATTATGTGCGTCCGAGTGTCCAGATGTCCATTTTGAAGCCGCATACCGTAATTGCCTATTTTAAAGGCGCATACAGTGATTTTTAGTTGAAAAATTTGAATTAGTGCGTCAGAAAACGCTAATTTCAATTTTTCTACTAAAAATTACGGTAAGCGTCTTTAAATTTGGCATTTTCGTGGTGAGACCCAACTTGACTAAATCCGTGGTGTTTGCACACACTTTGAAGTTCTCAGCGCGTTAAATTCGAATTTTTTGAAAAATTCCAAAAATCTTCCAGGACCCAATCTTCCTTCAAATCAGCCAACGTTGGAGTCTGGTCTCCAACTACATCACGTCTTCTGAATTCAACAATCTTCTCTACATTCAGAAGGTTCTCGACGAATGCGAGCAATGTCTTCAGAATCTTGGAACGTCGAATTCGTCAATGTCTCAAGTCATTCCAGCGATTTCTCGGATTCAGATGACGACGATGAATTCGAAATTCGACGATGCGGAAAGTCTGAATCCCACCATTCAGACGCTGTTCTCCGACGTCTTCTGTGAATTCAACGGCTCAGAAGACTATCAAAAATCCACGTGGCTAGATCCGCGATTCGCGTTTAGAAGGGACATTCAGCCAGTGGAAAAATGGGATGACGTGACGCAGAAAATTTTAGAAGGCTCTTCTGAAGGCGTCAAAATTGAATTCCAACAGGAAATTCAAAAATATCGAAAACTTCTAAAATCCGAACGTCCCGCGCCTTCAGAATCCCCGTTCATCTGGTGGGTCCTTCATCAGGAACGTCTTCCAAATCTGGCGAATCTCGCACATCGATTTCTCGCCGTTCCCGCGGTTTCCATTGACTCCGCCCACTTTTTCGGCCCGTCTGGAAAGTTCTCACACGTCTCCAGAATCTATAGAGATTCTGGAACTTCTGGAGATCGCTGGATGCGATTCGCCGCACGTCATCAGGAATTCAGAGGACGTGGAACACGAATGCCATATAAGGCAGAGGGATTCGCAAGACCTTTACTGGATTTCAAAGCTGAGCAATCGCGAAAACGAAGAGCATCTTCTCCTTCTGGAGATATCAATTTATCGATTTTCGAGCCGAAAACTCAAGGAAAAACGGTACAGGACTATCTGATGATAAAACGACGAAACATTGTGAAATGGCAGCCGAACAACGACTACAAGTCATCTTCCACGTTGTACACAACACTTCAGAATACGTTCAGAGCTTCTGAAGAGCCTGAAGGCGTCACGACACCGTTGGACGACGTCTTCAAAGACGTCAAATTGGAGCAGCCGGAGGAGATCAAAGTGGGCGGAGTCGAGGAGGACATTTGGAGTCCGCATACGTGGATGGGCAGTGAAAAGAAGTGAGTTGGTTTTCGAAAAGTGGGTCTCGCCACGAAAACGCCAAATTTAAAGGCGCATACTGTAATTTTCAGTGGAAAAATTGAAATTAGAGTCTTCGGGGAAGCTCTTAAAACGCTAATTTTAAATTTCTTCCACCTATGCCGCGCTCAAAGTAGACGCCAGGAACTGGAAATTGCGTCCAAAGCTGCCAATTTTTCCAGGTTTTCCAGGAGCAAGAAACTTCGATTTTCCGCGTTGTAGCTGTGTTAATTTTTCGAGGTCCGTTGTAAATTAAAAAGAAATTTTCTTTTTTTGGACCTCGAATTGATGTCGAAGAAAAAAACACAGCTACAACGAGGGAAATCGAAGTTTTAAGTCCATGGAAAACCTGGAAAAATTGAAAGCTTTGGACGCGATTTCCAGTTCCTGGAGGCTACTTTGAACGCGGCATGAAAATTACTATATGCGCCTTTAAATTTTCGACTTTTCGTGGTGGGACCCAACTTGACCAAATCCAGTCATGTTTATACTCATTTTGAAGCTCTCAACGCGCCAAATTCAAAATTTCCATTCATTCTTTCTTCAGAAAGCAATGCAATCGCCGTTGCTGCCTGTGCAATCAAATGAAACTGCACGAGGAGGTCAAAAATGTGACGATCATCGGCGAGAAGCTTCTCATGGCTCTGATCGCATTTCACACTGGTCGAACGTCGGAAAATCACGCCAGAGACGTGTATAATCGTGAGAAGAAGAGCTTCTTCTGTCGAGAACACTACGGCGAGACGGCTGGCGGAATTTTGAATTTTCTAAAAATCCAAAATTCCGCGAAACTAGCCGATTGCTCGATGGAACCGCTTCAAGGCGCATGTAATGCGATTACGGATGGACGAGTCGACTTGGCCGACAACAATTTGCGCGCTTTTATGATCAATTTTGTACAGAAAAATGAGGTGGGGACATTTTTTTTTTCAAAATTTTTCAAATTTTTTGTTTTTCAGGAAAAATCACCGATCCCATTTTACAAACCGTCTGAAAACCAAAACCGATCGGAAAGCGGTGATCATTGAACTTTTAAAAAATTTTCTTTTTTTTTCAATTTTTTCTCTTTTTCCGGGTTAAATATGATTTTTAGTAAACTTTTTTATTTAATCAAGCTAATTTTTCATAAATTTTCAATTTTTTCCAGAAAAAAACTGAAAAATTTCATGCAAAAACGATTTTTTTCTTGCTGTATTTATATATTTTTTTGCCGACAGAGAGAGAGAGAGAGAGGAGGCCCAGACAGTTAGAGAAATGCAACCGCGCCCCATTGCTAAAATCCGAGCGCGGCGCTTCAAACACGAGTTTTTTGCCAACCGATTTTCCGGGCGTTTTTCAGCGTTTCCGGGCTAAAAAATTGCTGAAAACTCGATTTTTCCAGTTTCAAAATGGAGAATCCATCGAAAACGCTCGCAATTCTATCACAATTTATGGCTTCACAAGGAATCCCATTCGAAAATGTCCAAAATCCGGGATTTCGGAAATTTCTGGCGAATTTCGGTGTTGACTCGGCGGTTTTTGCGCCGGCGGAGATGAAAAATTCGGTTAAAACCGGCGAAAAATCAAGGGAAATCGATAAGTCGAAAGGTCCGATCAGTTTGACAGTGGATTGGTCTCCGCGATTTCTAGTCTACTCGGTGCACTATTTTGAGAATGTTTTCGAGCGCAAAACCGCGATTTTTTTCGAGAAATTCGATCATAGGTGGGTTTTTTGGGTTTTTTTATGCTTAAAATTTTAAATTACCGCGCCGAAATTTGAAATTTGCAGCATCACAGCCGACACAATTTATCAAAAACTCGGTCTGGGAAAGCCGGAAATTCTCAACTTTCTCGGCGCAACGTCTCAAGTGTCGTTCCGTTTCATGGAGCATCACACCGCCAACAGCTACACGTGCCTTCATGATTTTATCACCGCGTTCGTCAAGCGAATTCTGAACTTGTCGGAAATTCAGAAGGCGTTGCAACTTGTCAAGCAGTTTTTGAAAGTGTTCAGGAGCAATCCAAGCAAGATGAATTCGTTGAAAAAGTGAGTGTTTCTAGGACGCGGACTAGGCTTTTTCTAAGCCATATTTCTTGGTTTTTCAGTGTCCTACTACAAAGATCGCTATCCACCGCCTGGCCGCCTGAAGAAAACGCCACGTGGCAGTCGACAGCGGATTTTTTGAATCGATGGATCGAATTGGTAAGGATTTTGGGAAAAAAATGATTGAATAGAAATTTTCAAAAAAAAGTCGGAAAATCGAAATTTTGGATTTTTCCAAAATTCCAATATGACCAAATACAGTCATAATTATATTCATTTTGCAGCTCTCAACAAGCTAATTTCAAACTTTCGACTGAAAATTCAAATTTGGCGCGTTGAGAGCTTCAAAATGAGTGTGAAAACCATCGAATTTGGTCCAGTTGGGTCTCACCACGAAAATGCCAAATTTAAAGGCGCACACCGTAATGTTCAGTGGAAAAATTGAAATTAGTCTTTTGAGAGTTTCCGAAAGGCAAATTTCGAATTTTTCATCTAAAGTTACGGTATGCGCCTTTCAATTTGGCATTTCGTAATTAGAATTCTCAGATTCTGGAGCTTTTGAGAATTCTAAATTCTCAAATTACAGATTTCAAACAAAAAGTGACATTTCAGAAAAATTCCAAAAATGTCGTTATTTTCTAAAAATTCCAAGAATTCAGAATTTCCGCGTTTCGAATTTAAATTTTGAAATTCCGAATTCGGAAGCTTCGAATTCCAGAATCTTGGAATTTCAGAATTTCAAATTTTCAGAAACTCGGAGTTTCAGAATCTCAGAATCCCAGAATCTCAGAATCTAAAAATCTCAGAATTTCGGAATCCCAGAATTTCAGAATCTAAAAATCTCAGAATTTCAGAATCTTAGAATTCCAGAATTTTAGAATCTCAGAATCTCAAAAATCTCAGAATTTCAGAATCTCAGAACATAATCTCAGTATCTCAGAATCTTAGATGTTCAGAATCTCGGAATTTCAAATTTTCAGAATCTCAGAATCTAAAAATATCAGAATCTATACGGCTTTGACCATTCCTGGTGTTATATATCAGATCCAGATCCTTTGAATTTCAAACTTCTTAAAAAATTCCAGAATCTCCTTTCTTTCAGCACCCGATCTTCGACAAGTTCTCTGTCACATGGGGCTTCCAACCAATTATCTCCACCCACGCGTCACCCAACTTCTCTACCAACTTCAACACATCCTCAATCAATGCTCCCACGCGTCTCGATTGCTCAGCAATCCCAAAACCAGCTCGATATCTCAAATCATTCCAGCCGTGAATCAAATCCAAAAAGCGATTTCCGACAAGAATCAACCGAACAAACCGTTCATCGAGCGATTCATCGTCCGAGATTTCGGCATCATCTTCCACGGATTCATCCACGAGACGTACAACTTGAAGTACGAGGTGGCGATGATTCTGGATCCACGATACGCGTATCGAGCGTCGATTCGAGACGGAAAAGAATGGAAGAATGTGGAGAAGCGGCTGATGGATCAGGCGCTATTACGATATTTCAACGAGCAGGAAATGCAATTTTTGGGCTATGAAGTGTCCGATGATCCCAGTGTTCGGTATATGTTTTTCAAGGTGAGCAATTGATAACATTTCAAATTATGAAATTTTCGTTTCTCCAGAAAGAGCTGGACCTCTACCGCTCGATCATTCAAGACCTTCCCTCCCGAAACTTCCAGAATCCTTTGGTAGAATTCTGGAGAGTGCACTCCAAATCGCTGGGCGCTCTGGCGATGATGGCTCGCGACTATCTGGGATGCCCAGCGATTTCCATCGACGCCAGCTTCTATTTCAGTAGCGATGGTTCTGGAAGATTCGACGGATTCTGCAATAGGTATGCTGGCGCCGAGCTGGAACGTCTTCTGGATGCCGCGAGCACGCAGCAAGAATTTCGAGGACGTGGAGAGTACGATTCGATGCCCATGGAAGAATTCGACGTGGATTCAGAAGACGTGAGGCCAGAAGAAGAAAAGTCAGAAGAGCCAGAAGACGTGGAGATGCCATCCACGTCATCAGCCAAGAGACCAGCTGAAGCAGTCAAAAAGCCGACGAAAAGGCGGAAAACTTCAAAAATGTGGGAGAAGAAGACGTCGCGGAATTCTGAAGAACCAGAAAAAAAGCTCGAACCCGAAGAAACCAACTTTATAGAGCCGAAACTAGAGATGCCAGATGACGTGACGCCTCCTACAGAAGACCCATCGGACGTCGTTGTTACATTGTCGCTACAGGAAATGGAGGCGGTCAGAGGACGTGTCCAGAAGACGTCGAATTCTGAAGTTCCGAAAAATTCAGAAGAGCGGAAACCGGAGAAACTTCTAGAGCCGAAACTAGAAGAGCCCGATTATGATACCGAAGACGTCACGCCGTCTGAAGCACCAATATCGGCGAATATGGATTCTGAAGACGACGTCAAACCTGAAGTTGCCACATCATCTGAAATTTCTCCAGAAATTGCCAAAAATAATTCTCAAGTCGTACACAGTTGTAAACTTCTGGAGAATTATAGAATGCTCACGAAGGCGTCCGAAGCAGGCACGTCTTCTGACGCCTCCAGATTCTGTGCAACACCTTCTGAAGATCCGACGATGTTTTCTGAAGCTTTCACATCTCCAAAAGATTTGAGTTTCGATGACAAGTCTTTTAGAGACCCGACGACTTCATGGAAGTCGTTTGGCGCTTTAGCAGAGGCGTCATCTAGAGGTGATTCGTTTTCAAGAGTACTCGTGACGTCTTCAAAAGGTTTAAAATCGTTTTATATGTGTTCTAGAAGAACGTCTTCTGGAGTTTCCACGCCTTCAGAAGCACTCAAATCATCCAGAGCGTCTTCTGTATCGTCTCTCCCTCCAAATCCTTTTGTGGCGTCTTCAGAAGTACTCAAATCACCTGGAACGTCTTCTGAAGCTACCACTTCTCCAAGACCATTCACGACGTGTTTAGAAGACTATAAATCGATCGATACGTCTTTTGGAACGACTTCAAAAGATCCGACGTCTTCTGAAGCGCCCACGACTTCAGCGTTTGAAGAGCAAAAGCCGGAAGAAATCAGTTTTGGCTCCATAAAAAAGTCAACGTTCCCAGACGTCTACAAATCGTACAAACTGACGTCATCTGGAGCGGCCACGTCGTCTAGAATTGTCGAAACATGCGATGGCGATGAGGAGGAGGAGGAAAAAATTGTGTTAAGGTAAGGTGGCGGCCTAGAATTCCATATAAAGTGGCTAGAATTTTCATATACGGTGGGCTTGGAATTCCATCTATGGTAGCCTAGTATTCTATATATAGTAGCCTAGAGGTTTCACATAAAATGACTAAGAACTTACATATAGGGTGGCCTAGAAATTCCGTATAAGGTGGACTAGAAATCCAATATATGGTGGCCTAGAAATTTCATATATCATGGCCTAGATTATCCATATACAGTGGCCTAGAAATTACATACCGTAAAACCTCTAATAGAACTATATGGTGGCCTACGATTCCCATACGTGGTGGCCTAGAAAGGTACAGAAATCCATTCAAAAAATTGGTTTCAGCGACGCGTGGAACATCCCAGATCCATCTCCACCACCACCACGGTCTGAATCATCAAAACACTCGCATCCGCCACGTTGCTTTCAGTGCCAAAACATCGATAGAAGCGTCGCAAAGAATAGATTCAGTATGCTCGAAGACCGTCAACTGATCCTTCTGGCAGCCGTCGTCGACCGAAAGCTTCATATCGCCGACGCGCTCGATGGGTGTCGAAAAAAACCACCCCAAACATTTTGCACTCAGCACATCACCGAAACGGCCCGACACATCTACCGTATGCTCAATGTGCAACGTGTCGATGAGATTCGCTCGGCTCCCAACGACGGAATCGAATTGACGGCGTGGAAATTCTATAAAGACATCTGTCGCGGCAGCGCGGCGGTTACTGTAGACTCGTTGAAGGATGTTTGCATCAAATTCATTTTGAAATACGAGGAGACTCAGTGCTTTTTGTGTCCGACGCAACTTCATCGATCGTTGATGTTTCCCGTCGCCAAGAGTACAGTAAACCTCGCGGATTGGATACTTCATAAAAAGATGAAGGGATTGGAGGAGGACAGTCAGCTAAGGAAAATGAAGGTAGTTTTTGAAAATCAGAATTTTGAAAATCGGAAATTCCAAAAATGTATTTTTCGATTTTGAAATTTCGGGCAATTTTTCGCTTTTTTCAGAGCGATTTTCGAGAAAAATTTCAAATTTTCCATATTTCCGTTCGTCCAGTGTTCTCAAATTTCAAATTTTTTCAGAGATCCGCTCTGATCAAACACCTGGGGACCCTAGTGGACAGTCACGTGTGCAAGGAGCATTTTCCGAAGAACTGTACGAGCGCAAAAGCGACTCTGAAGGGTCCGGAACGCGTTTTTCAAGAACTGAGCAGAGTTTCAACAGCTTCAGATGACGTGGATTTGGAAGGAGAAGAGGAGGAAGAAGAAGAAGGCGTGGATCGATAATTTATTGATTTAAAAAAAATATATTTGATGAATCCGGTTTTTATAGTTTTCCAGTACTTTTCACAGACCGATTTTTAATCGAATTTCAACCTAGATTCCCCCGATTTCCATATTTTTAAAATCCCAAAATCCATACTTGTAAAATTCCGGGCCGGCCCGCCAAAGCCCGGGCCCGGCCCGGAATCAAAAATTTTGTATTTTTGAGCCAAATTTTGAGCTCTCAATATAATTTTCTCCATTTTTTATTTGATTTTTTTGGATTGTTTGTCTGTTTGATCAAAAAAGATTGAAAAAAACTCGAAAAAAAATTTTTGATAAAAAAAATAACATAAGGGTCCCCCCTTATGTGATTTTTTTTGAAATATTTGAAACTTGTGAAATGACGGGTCCGCGGGCCGGGCTCGGGCCGTTACAAGTATGCCAAAATCCATTTTTTTCCAATTTTCCCAAAATAGAAAAATTCGAAAACGGACCTGTGATAATGACGGCATTCTTCGGATCCGATCCCAGCACCTCGATCATATGAGCAGCGTCACCGACACGGAGCGATGGATGACTGGCGAGGATCTGTGAGAATTTGAGAATTTTTCGGATCCAAAGTTCTGGCGGGAATTAGAAATTTTTGAGAAAAACGTCTTTAGGGATCTGGAAATTCGAAAATTGGGGAAATTGAAAATTTTGGGGAAAAATCTTTTTGTGGGATTTTCGAATTTTAAGATTTTCGAATTTTTTTTTGAATTTTAAGGAAAAATCAATTGTTGGCGGGAATTTGAAATTCCAGAATTTTAGAATCTCAGAAATTCAGAATCTCCGAATCCTTACCACACACGGCGTTTTGAATTCTTTCGAGAAGTTTCCATACAAGGATTCGTAAATTCGAAGACGTCCCGATTTGATGAATTGGCTGTGATAATAGGGTTCTTCTGGGAGATAGACCGCCTTTTGACGGGATTCGGACATCCATTCAGCACTGATACTCGCCATTGCGATGGCGCTTTTCGCCACTGGAGAAATCAGATAAATTGGAGTGTCAGGGGAGATTCCGGTCTGAAAAAACGAGGAATTTCGCAACCGAGACATTTCAAAACAGCGAAATTATGGAACTGCGATGTTTCAGAACTGCGACGTTTTAGAACTGCGACATTTTAGAACCGCGACGTTTCAAAACCGCGACATTTCAGAACCTCGACGTTTTAGAACCGAAGCGTTTTAGAACAGCAAAGTTTTAAAACCGCGACATTGCAGAACCGCGACATTTCAGAACTGCGACGTTTTAGAATCGCGAAATTTTAGAACTGCGACGTTTCAGAACCGCGAAATTTTCGAACCGCGACGTTTTAGAACCGCGACGTTTTAGAACCGAAACGTTTTAGAACCGCGGCGTTTCAGAATTGCGACATTTTAGAACTGCGACATGTTAGAACCGTGACATTTTAGAACCGCGACGTTTCAGAAATGCAAGATTTTAGAACCGCGACATTTTAGAACTGTGCCATTTTAGAACCGCGACGTTTTAGAACCGCGACGTTTTAAAACTGCGACATTTAAAACTGCGACATTTTAGAACTCCGACATTTTAGAACCGCGACATTTTAGAATTACGACATTTTATAACTGCGACATGTTAGAACCGCGACATTTTAGAACCGCGACGTTTCAGAATTGCGACATTTTATGAACCGCGACGTTGCAGAACTGCGACGTTTTAGAACCGAAACGTTTTAGAACCGCGGCGTTTCAGAATTGCGACATTTTAGAACCGCGACCTTTTAGAACAGCGAAGTTTGAGAACCGCGACGTTTTAGAACCGCGGCGTTTCAGAATTGCGACATTTTAGAACCGCGACGTTTCAAAACCGCGACGTTTCAGAACCTCGACGTTTTAGAACCGCAACGTTTTAGAACAGCAACGTTTTAAAACCGCGACATTGCAGAACCGCGACATTTCAGAACTGCGACGTTTTAGAATCGCGAAATTTTAGAACTGCGACGTTTCAGAACCGCGACGTTTTAGAACTGCGACATTTTAGGACCGCGACGTTTCAAAACCGCGACATTTCAGAACCTCGACGTTTTAGAACCGAAACGTTTTAGAACAGCAAAGTTTTAAAACCGCGACATTGCAGAACCGCGACATTTCAGAACTGCGACGTTTTAGAATCGCGAAATTTTAGAATTACGAAATTTTAGAACTGCGACATGTTAGAACCGTGACATTTTATAACCGCGACGTTTCAGAAATGCAAGATTTTAGAACCGCGACGTCTTATAACCGCGACATTTTAGAACTGTGCCATTTTATAACCGCGACGTTTTAGAACCGCGACGTTTTAAAACTGCGACATTTAAAACTGCGACATTTTAGAACTCCGACATTTTAGAACCGCGACATTTTAGAATTACGACATTTTATAACTGCGACATGTTAGAACCGCGACATTTTAGAACCGCGACGTTTTATAATTACGACATTTTATAACTGCGACATGTTAGAACCGCGACATTTTAGAACCGCGACGTTTCAGAATTGCGACATTTTAGAACCGCGACGTTGCAGAACTGCGACGTTTTAGAACCGAAACGTTTTAGAACCGCGGCGTTTCAGAATTGCGACATTTTAGAACCGCGACCTTTTAGAACAGCGACGTTTCAGAACCGCGACGTTTTAGAACTGCGACATTTTAGAACCGCGACGTTTCAAAACCGCGACATTTCAGAACCTCGACGTTTTAGAACCGAAACGTTTTAGAACAGCAAAGTTTTAAAACCGCGACATTGCAGAACCGCGACATTTCAGAACTGCGACGTTTTAGAATCGCGAAATTTTAGAACTGCGACGTTTCAGAACCGCGACATTTTAGAACCGCGACGTTTTAGAACCGGGACATTTCAGAACCTCGACATTTTAGAACCGAAACGTTTTAGAACCGAAGCGTTTTAGAACAGCAAAGTTTTAAAACCGCGACATTGCAGAACCGCGACATTTCAGAACTGCGACGTTGCAGAACTGCGACGTTTTAGTACCGAAACGTTTTAGAACCGCGGCGTTTCAGAATTGCGACATTTTAGAACCGCGACCTTTTAGAACAGCGAAGTTTCAGAAACGCGACGTTTTAGAACTGCGACATTTTAGAACCGCGACGTTTCAAAACCGCGACATTTCAGAACCTCGACGTTTTAGAACCGAAACGTTTTAGAACAGCAAAGTTTTAAAACCGCGACATTGCAGAACCGCGACATTTCAGAACTGCGACGTTTTAGAATCGCGAAAAGAACTGCGACGTTTCAGAACCGCGACATTTTAGAACTGCGACGTTTTAGAACCGGGACGTTTCAGAACCTCGACATTTTAGAACCGAAACGTTTTAGAACCGCGACGTTTTAGAACTGCGGCATTTTAGAACTGCGACGTTTTAGAACCGCGAAGTTTCAGTACTGTTTTAGAACCGCGCAATCAATTTTCCAAACCAAACCCTTACCGTAGAACTAATAATATCGGAAATCGCTTCAATCATCTCAAAAATGGGTCCAACTGGACAAATTGGCAAAATCACTGATCCATGATTTTTCAAATAATCGGTGACAGTTCTGGTGAGAGAAACGCCCATTGTCTGGGTGGAAGTGTCGATTAAGCGACTCATCGAATTGATTATCAAATAATCAATATCACTTCTCAATGGACCAATTTCCATTGGCTTCACATCTGTTGAAATTGGATTCGACGCTGTTAGATATCCGATTTTCTCGTTTTCCGTCTCGAAAATCCAGTTTGCTGAGCCATAGGTGTGTCCGGAGACGATTGGGGTGACTTTGACACGGAATAGCTCCTGAGGAACACTTTTTTGAATTTTTGGGGAGCGAGATTTGGCGGGAATTTGAAATTTTTGGAATTTCGGAATTTCAGATATTTTTGGGTTTTCGAGAATTTGGATTTTCAGATTCTGAAAATTTCGAAATTCCGAAATTTTGGAATTTTCAGAATATCAGAATTTTAGAATCCTCGAATCCCAGAATTTCAGAATCACAGGATCTCAAAATTTCAGAATTTTAGGATTTTCGAATTTTAGAACGGAATAGGTCCTGAAACAATTTTATGGAAAATTTCAAAAATTCAAAAGTATCTGAAATGTTCAGATTTTCAAATTTTAAGCTTTTGAACCCCAAAAATGCTGAAAATCTAAAAACCAGAAAGTGTTGAAATTCCAAAATCCTGAAATCCTGAAAATCCGAAATTCCGATACACTGAAATTCTGATATTCTGAAAAATATTTGACGGGAACTTGAATTTTTGGAAATTCGGAATTTCAGATATTTGGATTTTCGAAAATTTGGATTTTCAGAATCTGAAAATTTCAGAATTTCGGAATCCCAGAATCTCAGAATTACAGAATCTGGGAATCTCAAAATTCAGAAATTTAGAATCTCAGAATTTCAGAATTTCAGAATCTCAGAAACTCAGAATTTCAGAAATTCAGAATCTCAGAATTTCAGAATCTCCAGAACTTCAAAGTTACAGAATTTTAGAATTTCAGAATCTCAGAATTTCAGATTCTCAGAAATTCAGAATTTCAGATTCTCAGAATTTCAGAATTTCAGATTCTCAGAATTTCGGGATCTCGGAATCTCGGAATCTCAGAATTTCAGAAACTCAGAATCTCAGAATTTCTAAACCTCGGAATCTCAAAATTTCAAAATTTCAGAATTTTAGAATTTCAGAATCTCAGAATTTCAGAATTTCAGATTCTCAGAAATTCAGAATTTCAGAATTTCAGATTCTCAGAATTTCAGAATCTCGGGATCTCGGAATCTCAGAATTTCAGAATCTCAGAAACTCAGAATCTCAGAATTTCAAAATTTCAGAATTTTAGAATTTTAGAATTTTAGAATTTCAGAATTTTAGGATTTCAGAATTCCAGAATCTCAGAATCTCAAAATTTCGGCATCTCAAAATTTCAGAATCTCAGAACCTCGGATTTTCAGAACTTCAGAAACTCAGAATCTCAGAATTTCAAAATTTCAGAATTTTAGAATTTCAGAAATTTGAATTGGATTTTTTTTTGAATTCTAAAATTTAGATTTTTGAGTGTAAATTGGAAATTTCAGATAATTTCAGTCAAAAAAATGACTGAGATTTCGAATTTTGCGCGTTTTAAATCTGTCATTCAATCTCTCATTAAATTAATTCAATCTGTCATTAAATTGTCATTCAGAAAATTGGAAATTTTTGGAAAAATACATTGAATTTTAAGAAAAAAAAGCAAAAATTTAGACGATTTTCAATGTAATTTTCAAGCAATTTTTACAAATTTTTTTTTCAATTTTTAATCAAAAAAAAGATTTTTTTTCAAAATCCTCCACTTACAATGGTTTGATTAAAACTCAATGTGATCACTTTTGTCAAACAGCGATGCATGTCGGCTGCCTTGTAGAACGATGCCCACGTCATCGGATTCATCGACGGCGCATTCGGGAATTTTCTGGAAATTTTCAGAATTTTTTAAAACTTTATTTTAAAAAAATTACTGGCAAATCTCCTCTTTTTTCCATGTCGCATCGTCGGGCCGCGCTTCGATTCGCTCCATGAATTCCAGCATCTCTTCCATGAGCAATCTGAAAATTTTCAATTTTTCAAAAAATTCCAAATGCCAAAACTAACTTTCCATACTGAAAAGCAATCTCTGTAGCGTAGATTTTGCCTGAAAAGCCGGTATTTTCAGTGTAGAACGGCAGGCCAATGAAGTTCTCGTAGTTGGACACTAGAATCGCGTCGATTCGGTCCATTTTCAGCATTTCTGCCTGGAAATTTCAGCAAATTTTTGTTGTTTTTAGATTTCCCGCCTACCGATACATGGAAAATTTCAGGCGGTCCGTCGATATAGACCCGGTGCGAGAGCTCTTTGATATATGGAATACCGAATTTTTTAACGATATGCGCATTTTTGAATCGCGGACTGTAAATTTTAGTTATATAAAAAATTTTCCATCGATTTTCAGTCGCTTGCCTCTGATACACATGTGGCATGAAGCTGAAAAACGGGGTATAGTCTATTGGTGTGTCGAGAAGGATTCGGGAATTTGGCCACTGCAACACATAGCACGGCTTGTGTCCGTGTTTTGTGTAACTTGTCTGCAAAATTTCGCATGTTTTTTCGAATTCTATATGTTTCACATACTATATTCATTGTCTTGTGCCTTTGCTCGATGAAAATCGGTCAGGAATTCGATGAAATTGAATTTACTTTTCGAAAAACCAGTTTCGCGCCAAGGAGCAGGCAAGGCGCACTTGGCGATCCTCCTTGGCGCAATTCTCGTTTTTCTATTTTCGAAAAGATTTTTGACCGATTTTAATTGATTTTTGGCATATTTCCAGTCAAAAATGTCATCTAAATACGCGAAAAAGCGAAAACAACTCGACGACGACACTTCCGAAGCGAGCAGAAGTCGTCGTGACTCGTCCAGATCGCCATCTCCTTCAAGGTCGAAAAGGTGAGATTTTCAAGGTTTTTTCATTGGAATTTTGATTTTTTCAGGTCGGCAAAACAACGAGAACCAGAGAATAATGGAGAGCCGTAAGTTGTTTTCTGCGAAAAAATTCCTTAGCCAAAAAATCTATTTTATGCATTTTTTCTAATTTTCAGCTGGAAAAGTTCAAATATCATGATTTACGGGCAAGATGAGCCTGAAAATAACGATTTTCGTATAAAAAATCTACGAAATTTTTTAAAAATTTTCAAAAATTCAATTTTATTTTCTCAATTTTCAGCTTGAAAGCCGATCATGGCTTCAAAAAATTTGAAAATTTATTCTTTCTGACTGAAAATACTCGGAAAATTCCAATTTCCTCGATTTTCAGTGCCGAATCCATGTCGATCGAGGAGACGAACAAGCTTCGTGCCTCTCTAGGCCTGGCACCTCTGGAAACCAATGATAACAAGGAACGCGACGCCGACGATGGCACCAACGAGAAGATTTATAACGAAGACGGGTTCGAGTTTCGGCATCGAAAAGCCGAGAATCTAGCCGATAAAAAGAAGGAAAAGGAGATCAAAGAGAAGTTGGAAGTGGCGAAACAGAAGAGAGACGTCTACTCGAAAGTGTTGAAAGCCAGGAAGCTGGCGGACTCTGATGATGAGGATGGTGCTGCTGGATTCGTGGAGAGGATGCGAAAAAAGGAAGACGAGGCTAAGAAAGCGGCGGAACGGGCGGCCGCGTTTGATCAGTTGGATGAAGAGCTGGGAGTTAGTGCAACGGTGGAGAAGGCCAGGAAACAGAAGAGACCAAAGGGACCGAAAGGGCCATCGGCCACGGCTGGAATGGTTATTGGGCATGGAAGAGAGGCGTTTGTGGAGGGAGATCAGATTTTGGTTCTGCAGGATAAGGGTTAGTTTTCTTTACAACGGTGTTCCAGGAAAAGCCTTTAAAATCCCTGATTTTCGATCTTTGAAATCAAAAATTGACACCTAAAACGGTTCAAAACTGTGATTGCTCATTTCTTAGTTACAGTAATCCTTGTCAAAATTAATTTTAGAACGCTGGAAATAGCTGAAAATCCCGGAAAAAGCAACCAACATTAACATAAAAGACGATTGCTCATCGTTAGCTACCGTATTCTAAGTTTGGGCTTAAAATCGTCCTAAAACTGAAATTGAGAATCACAGAATTTCAGAATCTCGGAATCTCAAAATTTCAGAAACTCAAAGTCACAGAATCTCAGAATCTAAGAATCACAGAATCTCAGAATCTGAGAATCTTAAAATCTCGGAATCTCAGAATTTCAGAAATTCAAGACATGAATTACAGAGCTTCGGAGGGATAACTGTAATTGAGAAGGAGCAAACTGAGTTTTTGAACGTTCCGAACTATTTCTGAGCTTAAACTAGGATTACGGTAGCTAAAATGGACCAAAATTGATTGAAAACAGGTGATAGCTTATTTTTAGCTACCGTAATCCTGGTTCAAGCTCAAAAATTGTTCAAAAACAGTCGAAACCTGAGATTGCTCATTCTCAATTGCTGTAGCTCCTTTTAAGCTCAGATATCGTCAATTTCAGCCTAAACTTGGATTACGGTAGCTAAAAGATGAGCAATCGTCTTTTTATGTCAATTTTGGTTGATTTCAGCAAAAAAGATGGATTTTCCACTTGTTTTTCCGAGATTTTAAGGCATTTTAAGCGTTTTGAAATTATTTTTGAGCTGAAAATCCAAAATAGAAAGCAATCGGGCCATTTTAGGTCGATTTCGACTACTTTTGAGCTTTAACTAGGATTACGGTAGTGAAGAATGAGCAAGCATAGTTTCAGACCGTTTAAAGGGTCAATTTTGACGATTTTTGATAGATTTAACAACTGGAAAATGGAAAATCTGGGGATTTCCCTCAAAAACTTCTAGAAAAATCTTCAATTTTTGTTTTCAGGAATCCTTGACGACGGTGACGAGGTGCTGGTCAATCCGAACATGCTGGACGACGAGCGACACGTTCGGAATGTGGAGCTTCGGAAGCGAAAAGATCCGAATCGCAATTTCGACGAGGATGTCGATGAGTTTGGCAATGTAAGTGGTTTTGAGAGGTCGAATTTCGGCGGAAAACGGTCTAAAATTGACTGAAAATAGCCTCAAAATTCGCCAAAATTAACTCAAATCGGTCTAGAACGGCCTAAACTAGGCCGAATTGACTGACGAATTGAGTGAAACTATCCTAAAAATGACCTACCAGGACCTGAAATGGACGCGAATAGGCTGAAATTGATTAAAATAGGTTTTTTTGGCTTAAAATGCGACTTTTTGACCTTGAAAATCTTCTAAAACCCTTGTTTCGGAGCCTAATTTCACCCCAAACTCATCTGAAAAAATCGAAAATCCTTCAATTTGCAGCTGAAAAACTCATTTTGGCTCCAATTTGACCCCAAAAGTTGAGAAAAATGCGCTAATTTTTGGCTTAAAATGTGACTTTTTGACCTTGAAAGCTTTGGAAAATGCCTTATTTTGCCTTCAAATTTATCCAAATTTCTCTAAAAACTCCCAAATTTTGCAGCTCAAAAACTTTGGAGTGCTCGCGAAGTACGACGAAACACTTGAAGGCGAACAGAAGAAGCAATTCCGGCTGGACGAGACGGGCGGTGTGGATCTAGAAGAGGAGAAACGAGAGATGGAAGCATTCCGACGCATGAAAATGGCCGGGAAGCGTCTGGAGAGTTTGGAAACCAAAAAATACGAATTGGCCAGCGAATTCTACACCCAGGACGAAATGACACAGTTCAGAAAGGTCAAGAAGGGCAAAAAAGAGAAGAATATCAGGAAGAGGAAGGTTCTGAAGGCGTCAGACTTGGTGCCAGTCGAGAAGGCCGGGCAGAGTTTTGGAAGACGTCGAAGGGATTCTGATGAAACTCAAGACGATAAGGAGAAAGTAGAGGAAGACGTGAAGATGGAGGAAGAAGGGGAGCTTCCGGAAGCGCCAGAAGACAAGAAATGGAAGAAGGCGATGACTGGAAACGGTGTGGATGTGCAACGTCTTCTGAAGCTTCGAGCATCAACACGTCAGAAGGATTCAGATGAGGATTCTGACGATGACTTGATGTTCACTGGAGGCGTGGATCTTACTGGCGTCGTGATTGACGATGACGCTGAAGACGAGCTTCACTCGATTCTGGCGAAGACGCGGAAAGTGAAACAGATTGATGGGAAAGAGGATGACGTTGGGAAACGAGTACAGAGTATGCTGACGAGTCACGGAGGCAAAATGGAACTGGACGATGAAGACGTCAAGCCGACGGTGAAGGAGGGACAACTATTCATCGACTCCACGACGGAGTACTGTAGACACGTGGGAGAAATTACGACGTTGGGAATTGGTGGAAACCGGAATGTCGATGTGTCGGAGGTCAAGAAGGTGGTGAAGGTAGGATTTTGTCCGTTTTCTAGCATAGTTATCATGGCGGCCTAACTTTTTCAAGTTGAATTTTCTAGGCCACCATGCTAAAATGACTTTAAAAAATATTGAGTGAATATCAGATCAAATCTATGTCATTTTATAAGGATGACCTAGAAAACTCAACTTGCGAAAGTTAGGCCACCATGTCTAAATGGCCTAGAAAACACAAAAGGTTAATATCAGCTCATTTCTAGGCCATAAAAGTGGGTGACCTAGAAAACCCATATTGTGAAAGTTAGGCCACCATGTTAAGTGGGGTATAAATGACCTGATATTCACCTTGTTTGTTTTCTAGACCATTCACGATGATGGCCTTAAAAACTCACTATGCAAAAACTAGGCCACCATGTTAAAATGACCTGATATTGGTGTCTTTTCTAGTGTGTTTTCTAGATCAATTGAGCATGATGGCCTAACTTTTACAAGTTGAGTTTTCTAGGCCACCACGTTAAAAATGGACTAGAAAACTCAACTTTCATCGTTGTGAATAGCCTAAAAATAGGCTGATATTAACCTGACAGGTTTTCTATTCACCACAGTGACCTAACTTTCCCAACATCCAATTTCTAGGCCACCATGTAAAAATGGCCCAGGAAACTTACCAGGGTCATTTCTAGGTCAAAACAATCGGTGGCCTAGAAAACTCAGCTTGCAAAAGCTAGGCCATACTTTTAAATCTTACTGAACAAACCCAATTTCCCTATTTTCCAGGAAGAAGTACCAGAGGAGGAAACGGACGGTTTTGAGCAATGGAAACGCGCGAAAGTGGATAAGGATATCAAGGAGAAAGAGAAACGAAAATTTAGAGATCAAGGAGGATGGCTGGCGGCTGGAAAACCAATGGACTCGAATATCCGAATCGATAGTGACGATGAGGATGCGTTGGAGGAGGCGAAGAAGAGGAAATGGTCAGATGAGGAGGATTCAGAAGACGACGAGGAGAAGGACGAGTACGCGCCGGCGCTTGGAAGAGAAGTCGATGTGTCGAAGGGCGTTGGTCAGATGCTCAAGCTGGCCGGACAGAAGGGATATCTTCAGAATCCGAATGCTAAATCGCATTCGGGACCATCGCTGGATCATTTGAAGAACAAGGCATCGCATCGGGTGGATGGGTCTAGATTGTGAGTTTTATGACTGAGATTCTGAAATTTGAAATCAGGAAATTCTGAAATTCTGAGATTCTGCGATTCTGAAATTCTGAGATTCTGAGATTCTGACAAGGGAAGTCGTTTTAGAAAGGGGTTGAGAATTTGCTCGTTTTTTGACAGTGGTTAGTTCACACTCTTGTAAACCTCCTATCAAAATCTGTATATGCACTTTTTCCAAAAATGCTGAAAATTTTCGTCTGAAAGTTTCCAAATCCTTAACCATTGCAAGCCCCTTTTCCCTCTGTCAAAACGCCTCCTGGTGACCTCCAGGGAACACCGTTCACATAAACCCCCGCGCGCAATGTAGTTTCCAGCGGCGAGGTGGCTGAGTGGTTGTGGGCGCGAGTGGTGAAACTGGACGACTGGGGTTCGACTCCTACGTTTTGAAACTATTTTTGCTTTTTTTGAGCGATTTCCTAGGCACCTATTTTCGGCTCCACAATGACTTTCTGCGCGAAATTTCGAAGTTTTCCCTAATTTTCAACTTTGAAAAGGCGAAATCATCAGTTTTTACGAAATAAATATTTTCAAAATTTTCAAAGTTTTTGATCCCATGCGAAATTTTCGATGAAAAAATATTTTCTCGGAAATGTTCATTTTTTGTATGGAATGTGTTTCTGTGAGTTCTAATTAGTTTTTCATGGGGATGTGGTTTATTTTCGACTCGAAATACCTCGAAAAGCCATGATTGAAACGGTTCAAAAAAGAAAGATGACTGTAAATTGCACAGAGATCAAATGGTCAGCCCCGATTTCTGAAAAAAACACATTCCATACAAAAATTGAAATTTTTTGAGCAAAAACATTTCATCGAAAATTTCGCATGGGATTGACCATCAAAAACTTTGAAAATTTTGGAAATATTTACTTTGTAAAAACTAATGATTTCTCCTTTTCAAAGTTGAAAATTAGGGAAAACTTCGAAATTTCGTGCAGAAAGTCATTGTGGAGCCGAAAATAGGTGCCTAGGAAATCGCTCAAAAAAAGCAAAAATAGTTTCAAAACGTAGGAGTCGAACCCCAGTCGTCCAGTTTCACCACTCGCGCCCACAACCACTCAGCCACCTCGCCGCTGGAAACTACATTGCGCGCGGGGGTTTATGTGAACGGTGTTCCCTGGAGGTCACCAGGAGGCGTTTTGACAGAGGGAAAAGGGGCTTGCAATGGTTAAGGATTTGGAAACTTTCAGACGAAAATTTTCAGCATTTTTGGAAAAAGTGCATATACAGATTTTGATAGGAGGTTTACAAGGGTGTGAACTAACCACTGTCAAAAAATGAGCAAATTCTCAACCCCTTTCTGGAACGACTTCCCTTGTGAGATTCTTAGATTCTGATATTCTGACATTCTGAGATCTGGAGAGTTTGGAATTCCGAAATTTCGAGATTCGAGATTCTAAAAATTTGAAATTTGGAGATTCTAAATTTCTGAAATTTTGACATTTTGCATTTTCCAAGTATGTGGACATCTGGACATCCGGAAATACATATTCCCGAATTTATGAATTTTCAAATTCCCGAGGAAACGATTTTTCAGAAAAAAAGATTTCCCGCGGGAAGTGGGCGGAGCCTAAGTTTAGAAGCTGGCAATTTAGGCTCCGCCCCCTGACTCCGCTCACTTTTGAAAAAGATATTGAAGGTCTCAAAATACGATTTTCCAGGAAATCAGGAATCTGTATTTCCAGATGTCCAGATGTCCACAAAAGCGAATTCCGTTAGATTGGACATCTGGACATCTGGATTTGTACTCGAATGAGCAATACATCAGACGTTTCTTGAAAAATAATCTCGAAATTTTTGAATTTCTAGGCAATTTCCAATGATTTTTTTGAAAATCGAATTTTTTGCAGTGACCCAGACGACCGAAACGCCAAAAAAGCGGACCGTCTCCAATCGCAGAATCGTGGTCCAACGATGCCGTTCGCTGAGAAGACGGACTACAAACCAGATGTCAATATCAGTTATGTGGATCGGAAAGGACGTGATATGGATGCGAAAGACGCCTACAGAGAGCTCTCTTATAAGTATGTCATTTTTGAGATTTTTTGGAATTTTGATTTTAGCAGAAATTTGAAAAATTTTGAATTTCCAGAAAATTTCGAAAATTTCAAAATTTTGAATATTTGAATTTGGCGCGCAATTTGAAGAATATCAATTTTCCAGATTCCACGGTCGTAATCCGGGTAAGAAGCAGTTGGAGAAGCGAGCGAATCGTAAGGATAAGGAGGAGAGGATGTTGAAGGTAAGTGGAGGGACATCTGGATGCACAGACACACAAAAATTTGAATTTTTCATTTTTTGGAGGAAAAAAGTGGCGAAAAGTCGGATTTTTCTCCAAACTTATCGCATGAAAATGAGTCAATTTAGTTTCAGACAAAAACTTTTTCGATTTCAAATTTTGAAATTTTCGATTTTTAAAGTCTATGTGACATCTGGATATACAGAAATCCGCTTTCAGACGAACAGCTACGACACTCCGCTCGGAACGCTGAGCAAGCAGCTGAAAAAGCAGAAACAGCTCTCCACACCGTACTTGGTGCTGTCCGGATCCACTGATCAGTGAGTTGATTTTTTTGGAATTTTTCAAATTTACCAGGCTGGCAGGTGCGCCTTCGGCGCGATTTGACCTAGTTTTTTTTACAAAAAATGAATTTTTTCAGCTCGAGCTTGAAGAAGGAGTGAGTCGGCGAATGGATCATCTAAATTCATTTTTTTTTGTCTTCTTTTTTCATGCCCTTTTCTAAAAGATATAAATAAATTATTTTGGTTGTACGCTCGCTTTTTCCACCCAACAAGAAGCTTCTCGTCTGCTTTCTCTGCGCATCTCCTCACGTTTTCTCTCTCGCTCGACGCGTGGTTTATGTACACAAAACAACGCTAGGAGAGACGTGCGCGTTCGTGGTGTAATGGTCAGCATGGATGCCTTCCAAGCATTCGACGGGGGTTCGATTCCCCCCGAACGCAGGTTTCTTTTTTTTCTTTTTTTTGCTTGTTTTTCGGAGTTCCAGACTAAGAAAGCAATAGAAAATAAATTCTCAAAAACCATTCATTATACCTTTGGCAATTTTTCGAAAAACCGGTTCACATAGTTCGACTCCGGCACTTGTCAAATGCACAGCGTTATCGGCATACGTCAGCAGGGTGTCTTTGTCGAATGTCAAATATTTGTCTCCTTTGATGAAGACGTGACTCAAATCGAAGAACTGGAAAAACATTTTTTTGGAAATTATGGAAAATACCATATTTGCTCATAGAAGCCCATCCAATACTTGAACTTTGTGCTCATTTATCTCGATTTCTGTTAAAGAAATCAAAACTCTGTCAACTGTTAAAATGTTTATCATAATATCATCAATATTTTATCAGTTGACAGCTTTCCAATATCTCTCCCAGTAAGCGGGATAATTGAGCTCAAAGTTGACGTATAGATTGGGATTCTATTAGAGCAACTGCGGTATTTTGCATGTAACTTTGTTCATAGACAAGCTACAAATTCATAAATAGCATCATCTTGTAGAACTCTTCAAGTTCTATAGTCTTCTTTTTAGTAGGTCAAAAAATATTAAGCCTGAAACAAGCTAGAGCCCCAAGTACCAAGCTCACCTCACACTTCTTGCATTTGATCTGCGCGAACCTCTCCTTAACCGACCTCATTTCTTCATCAGCTAGTTTTTTGTCCAAATGAAGCGAGTCTAAACTTTCAGGTCTCGTGACCACATAATGAAGAAAAAGGTCAAGAAAGTTCTCATGGTATCTAGGATGGGCGTCTAGAATATACAGCTTTTTCACGAATCTGAAAAATTAGTGTACAATGCACTTTGAGCTCAATTATCTCGGTTCCTATGAGAGATATCAGAAGTTTGTCAACTGATAAAATATTGGTGATAATATGATAAGTAAATTATCAGTTGAAAGATTTTTGACATCTCTCACAGGAACCGAGATAATTGGGCTCAAAGTGGCTGACCTACTTTTCATAAAACGCGATTGTCTCATTTATCTGCTTCACGATTGGATCTTTATGTTGAATGGGTCCTTTGATGTTCTCAATGTACCTAAAATTTCATAAAAAGTTAGATACTATAAAAAATAGGCTACAGTAACCTGGCAATCACAAATAGGACATCCGGCTTGTTCACCTCCACTTGCTCCTTTGAAAATGCCAATGCCTGTTCTGAATCCACCGTATCACCCGAGTAAATTCCATAATTCGCGAAAACGGACATGTATCGAAACTCAGAGTAATTCGAGTGGAATTGAGCTCGCATGGCTTCGACAAGATTCACCACATAGCTATTGCCAAGAACCATAACTGAGATACTTCCATTTCCACGCTGAAAATTATGAGAGTAAGGCATCCATTTCAGTCGGTCGACAATCGGTGACCGCCGACCGACCGCCGACCCGGCCGAGCTGATCAGCTTGGTCGGGTCGGCCGGCGGTTGGTCGATCGATTTTCCGCATCGAATGGAAGCCTTGGTTGTACCCACTGGATATCTACAGTAACCTCCGAGGTTAGCTTTTGGAAATGGTGTCTTTATATCCGTTTCTATACATCTTTGTTTACGAGCTTTCAAATCCCAAACTGATAAAGATTGTTTCAAGTTTTGATCGATAATTTTTCGAGTTCCAGCTGGTAGGTTGCTTTTCCGGAAGCTATCATTTCGAATAGTGTACTGTAGGTAGGCATTGGCGAGAATCAATAAAACAATCAATTTGAATATTCCGACAATTCCCAATTTCAGGTAAAGTTTCTCAAAATAATGATGTAGGGTCATAGAAGCGGTGAATATAGCTACTGCAAGCGTTATTATTCATTAGATGGAATCTTAGAATCTCAGAATCTCAGAATCTAAGAATCTCAGAGTTTCAGAATCTCAGAATCTCAGAATCTCAGAATCTCAGAATCTCAGAATCTCAGAATCTCAGAATCTCAGAATCTCAGAATCTCAGAATCTCAGAATCTTAGAATCTCAGACTCTCAGAATCTCAGAATCTCAGAGTTTCAGAATCTCAGAATCTTAGAATCTCAGAATCTCAGAATCTCAGAATCTCAGGATCTCAGAATCTCAGAATCTCAGAATCTCAGAATCTCAGGATCTCAGAAACTCAGAAGCTTAGAATCACAGAACTTCAGAATCTCAGAATCTCAGAATCTCAGAATCTCAGCATCTCAGAATCTCAGAATCTCAGAATCTCAGAATCTCAGAATCTCAGAATCTCAGAATCTCAGAATCTCAGAATCTCAAAATCTCAGAATCTCAGAATCTCAGAATCTCAGAATCTCAAAATCTCAGAATCTCAGAATCTCAAAACCCAAGATTCCTGAACCACTTACCAATGCAAACCGCGTAGCTCATAATATTGTTTGGAAGAAAAATTGAGATAACTGGCCAGTGCACCAAATAGAGCACATAGGAGATGTCGCCAATGTAGACCAGTGTTTCAGACTTGAAGATCTGTAAAAGATCATGGTGGCCTAAATTTCTCAAGTGTGATTTTCTAGGCCAGCACGGTAAATGGCCTAGAAAACACATCAGTTGACTGTCAGACTATTTCTAGGTCATTTTAGCATAGTGGCCTAGAAAAGTCAACATGTAAAAGTTAGGCCACCACTTCAAAACCTAAAACACACGAGGGGCAAGTCAGGCTATTTATAGGCCATAAAAGTTGGTGGTCTAGAAAATAAATTACAAAAGTTAGGCCACCATGTTCATTAGGCTAGAAAACAAAATAAGCGCATTCTGGGTCATTTTAGAACCATCGACTAGGGGCCCACAATCCAAGGGTACATCGAAAAAGGGTACATCGAGGGTACATCGAGTTCTTAGGGTACATTGGTTCTGAGGGTACATGGGATCTTAGACTGTAAGGCGTTTTAGCCTAAGCCTATAATTTTGAGCAGAAATCAAAATAAAAAACTTTTTCGATGTACTCTTGGATACTGGGCCTCGACTGGGGTGGTTTAGAGACAGATAGTTGAAAAAAAAATACCTGAGCACTCGATTCCTCACAGGCAATTATCATGGCTGTGACTAGAGTCACCAATGGTCTTGCAATTAAAACAAACACTTCTCGTGGGAAAAAACACAGACTCAAAATGAGCAATGAGATTAGTACAATGGCTCTCGACCGTTTTGATGTGACATCTGATCCTGGTAACCTGCTACCTTGAATCTTGCTCCAAAACAATGAACAAAATCCAGCGGAAAATTGCCAAAGTCGGAGGAACATGAAGTGGAATGCAAATCTATCAAGAGCTCTGAAGAAGGCAGCGAACCCAAATACTGTGATTAGTAGGCAGGTAGTGAACTGGAATTCATAACTTTGATTGAATTTATCTGAATTCGTATGAAAGATATCAAAAAAATGTTCAACTGATAATTTGTTCATCATAATATCAGAAATATTTTATCTGTTGACTGATTTTTGATATCTCTCACAGAAATCGAAAAAAATGCCTACCTTCCAATAGTCGTTTCTCAAAAACTGCAAAGCCAAAAATATAAAAGGAAAAAGGAGATAAAACTGCATTTCTAGTGATAAGGACCATAAATGAAGAAACCCATTGATAGAGGATGTTGAAGCAAGAAACTAAAAAAATTTGTTAGAATTTTCTGGTAACTTGGGCTACTTGGTTCATATAATCTCCATTATCTCGAATCACGAGTTGATTGGTAACCAGGAACAACGAAGCCAACGAATATCGATCGTTGTTTTTCCATAGAAAATCTCCTAAAAATAGGCGGACAATCAGAGTGATAAGTAAAATGGCAAGGTAGTATAATGGAAGAATTCGACGAAATCTGAAAGTGTGAAATTTTAGGCAAGCTTTTAGCCGTCAACTTTGAGCTCAATTATCTCGGCTCTTATGAAAGATATCGAAAATTTGTCAACTAATTAAATATTGGTAATTTTATAGTAATTAATTTATCAGTTGACATCATTTTAGTATCTCTCACAGGAAACGACAAAAACTGGCTCAAAGTTGGTTATCGTGATTGCTCTCATTGATGCTCATGCCCGTGAGCTCAACTATCTCGGTTCCAGTGTGTCTTTTCGAAAAATAATTCTCGGGAAATGCCTTTTTCGAGAAATTTTTGAAGAAATTTCGACAAAAATTTCTCGAGAAAATTTTTCGAAAAAAATTCCTTGAGGAATTCCTCGAAAAAAATTTCTCGAGAAATGTGCTAAACAATGTGCGGTGCGGAATTTCGGAGTGTCGTTTGCGACTTTTTTTCAGTTTTTTGTCGTTGCTGACATTGTTTCTCGTTTATTTTGTCTTTTTAAAGACAAAATAAAGGTGGTGGCCTAACTTTTGCAAACTTGGTTTTCAAGGCCACCACTTCAAAGTTAACTAGAAAGCATACCTTAGTCATGGATCAGGGCACTTTTAAGCCATTTTTAAGTGGTGGCCTAGAAAACCAAACTTGCAAAAGTTAGACCACCACTGCGAAATAAATTCGTCTCGAAAAATTTTTCAAAAAATTCCTCGAAAAATTTCTCGAAGTCGTGTCGAAAGGACACACTGCTCGGTTCCTATACGAGATATCAAAAGTCTATCAACCAATAAATTACTTATCATAATATCAGCAACAATTTATAAGTGACCGCTTTTGGATATCTTTCAGGACCCAAGATAATCGAGCTCAAATTTGCAAGCGAGCTTCTACTAGAGGAAAGACGATAGGCTAAAACCAACCTCTTATAATAAAACAGCAAAACGTCTTGGACCCTGGAAATTCTTGAGTGGCTCAAACTTTTAGCCATAAGGAATCCGGAAATGACGAAAAATCTGATTAAAACTTTTTTTTTCAAAAAATTCAAAATCCCATAAGAAGCTTACATATCCACACCTAAAAATCCATTAACAAAAACGGTGGGAGCAAAATGAAACAGTAAAACTGAGAGAATTGCGATTCCTCGTAGGCATTGTATATCTTTTCGCATATTGATTTATAATAAAGAAAAAGGGGGAAAAAGTAGTCGTTCCGATATTCCATGCTTTTCTCTTTTGAGATTAGGATCACAGGAAAAACTGGTTAGTTCGTATTACCCTAATTTCTATTGTACATAGCGTTGGAATATGCATAAAAGTTCTGAAAACGAAAACGTTTAAAAAGAGTATGCGTTTTTGCTCTTTGGGTCCACCGTATCCCTTCACATACACATGTGACCCGGTGACGTAGCTCAGCCGGTAGGACAGCCAATATTTGGGCCACAAGTTCAACATCTCCTGGATGTAGCCCCTTTAAAAAATAAGAATTCCTTTAAAAGCATCCACTTGTTTCTCGTTTTTTGATCATTTGTCCAACGTCACCTTTCCCATATGATCTCTATAGCTATGCCATTAGGATAAGAACGGTTTCATGCCTACACTCAAATACTTTCTTCCAGATCTTTTGATACTCAGTGCTGATGTTATCCTGGGATGCGGAAAACATTGAAAATGTTCAGAAGATCGAGAAGATTTCACCAATCGATGTGGAAAGGGCCATTAATCTCCGAAGGACTGTTTCCTATAGGTGCTCTTCAATTAGAGGGATCCTTTTTTGAAATTTTTCTAAAATTCTGCTCAGTTGATCCAAGCGTGCATTTTTTCCGAGCTATTATTTGAAGTCTATCTAGCAAAAGTGGAAGTCCCTTCAATCAGAAATGGTCTTCTAAAAAACTATTAAAAGTACGAAAACTTTTGCCGTCATTAGGGTGCAAAGAAATCGTACAAAATCCTCAATTTGAGGGTAATATCAATTTCGTACCCCTACCCCCTCCAAATTGTGGATTTTTTACTTCCTTGTACCCCGGATTTGTTGTACCCTTGAACTACGTGCCTCTTAACTATCGTTTGTTTGTTACATTAGCATCTTATAATCTGGAAATCGTTGATATGCAGAACTGATTTGAAATTCAAATGAATCACGAAGTACATACTGATCAATATTCATAATGAAACCCAATAAAAGGAGACCAGAACCCTTCAATCGGCAGATTCGAGATGAATATTTTCGGTTTCCTTGTGGTCTTCTTCTGCTTATTGGCAGAAGTTTCCGCAAAATGTGCGGACAGTTGCGAGTGCCCGGAATTCTCATCGCTTAGATACGGTAAGATGTTGATTCATTGGTTTTAGGTTCGAGCATTTTCATGATGTTGTTGGAAAGCACAAATACTTCTCATAGGACATCGACGAGTTATCCATGCACATTGCAGAACGATACGATGTGTCCTATCTCCAATTCACTCAACTAGCAGGATGCGCTGCAAATGCCACGTGCGTCAATCCCAACAACTTTATGATGTTATCTGGATTTAGTTCTTCCGAAATTGAGCACCCTCCTGAAACGCCGGACAACTTTGTATGTGAAAGCATTCTTCTATTTGACGATTTTTTAATTTTAGTTTATCGTTACTTCTGGCAGAAATTCATCAATCCTGGCAAGTTCTTTCGATTTGTTTCCATATTTCGGAATCATTTGCGAAGGCGGATCGTGGTATGCAACGAAGTATCCGATGGGAATAGCAACTCAGTCAGTGACAGGAGGCGGCCTTATTTACACAAACTATGACGAGTCATATGATGGAAAGAAATCCAGAATTTCGGTCCTTGCTTGGTGAGATTTCCACTGTTTCAAACTTGTTTACGCAAATAATTTCCAGCAATTGGTCCTAACTTGAACAACTTCATAATCTTAAAGTTCTTGTTTCTTTTGCTTAATAAAATCTTCTGAATCAAAAATATTGGAACAATTTGAAATAACTGATTGCTTGTGTTAACTTAATGAGAAATTTATGATAATAACCACAAAATCATTTTCCAAATATTATAACAGTACACTACAGGTTCTAGTTGTTTTCTTTTAAATAGTCCTCTCAATAAAATGTTTACCGTCCACGGATCGAGAAAGATTAACGATTGGAAACAGATAAATTTTTCAAAAATATGACCATCTTGTAAGGTTTGTCAAGATCCACCGTATCTTTTTCGATGAGCCTAAAAATATTGAGCCTGAAGGAAGCTATAGGTTGGTTCGTCGTTCGTCCGTTGTTGACTGCAAAAGTGATTTTTTGAAAATTTTTTGAAAAGTGCGAAAAAACGTTCCAATTATTCAGAAACTATAAAAATAGCATTCTGACAAATTTTTTCAGCCCAATATTGTCTTTGGGCTCAGAAAATCTCCAAAATCTGATTGTTGTTAGAACTTTGACAGTTCCTATTTTCTGAAATATCGCTTGAACTTAAAACCTATAGAAATAGGTACGAATCTTGTATCTGATCGATTTGACAGTACTCCACCTCAAAAAGAGCAAAATTGAGCAACTTTCAGAGACTGGAATTTTCGTTTTTAACGATACGAGGATGTAAGAACCGGTCGAAAAGGTCGAAAATTATCTATTTTTCCCTCAAACTCTCATGAAATCTTTTTTTCTTTGAAAACTTTTGAAATGAATTAAGAAGTGTCATATAGTGCCTAGGGGGGCAAACTTGAAATCCAAAATTAGTTTCAAAAAATGCAAAAAAGTTTTACCACAGCGGGGGTCGAACCACCATAGTCAATTCTAATGAGTCACCCTCTTACCACAACACCACACAACCGATAGTTTCCTCTCACGCGGAATTGATAGAGGAGAGAAGAGAGGGGAAGTCGAAATCCCCAGCGCACCGAAATCGGCCCAAATTATCAGACAAAGTTTTTCGGCCTGGAGTGAGAACGGGCTAAAAATTTTTTCGTCATCGTATAGAGCATGTCATGTCCCACATTTAATCTTGCTGACAAGTATAACACTTTTCGATCCTTGTAACTAGGGTCAGTTCCAGGGTCAGTTAAGAGAAAATATACGTATGAAGGGCCAGACATATTAAAAGCAATCAGTTACTGTGAATGTTTTCAACTTTTATGATTTGAAGGAGTTCATTATTCAAAGAAACAAGAAGTTCAAGAATGTGAGTTCAAAGGTTATGAGCATGCGAAAATCAAAATTCTGGTTTTCTTTCCATCATATGACGCGATATAGTTTGTGTAAGTGAATTCGCCTGAATCCATGGAAACATACGCTATACCCATCGGATACTTTGTAGCGTACTACAATCCGTTTTCGCAAACAGCTCCGAAAAATGAAAAAAAACATCAAAAGAACTTGCTGGAATTAGCGAGTCAGAAGCCACAATTATCTAAACTTTGAAAATAAGCATACTGTTTTGCAGATTGTTTTCACATACAAAGTATCTATCAGTTGCTTCAAAAGGCTGTAGAATTTCGGAATCATTGAAGTTTGCTCCCATGACAAAGTTACTTGGATTGACACACGTGGCATTTGCAGCACATCCTGTTAGTTGAGTGAATTGGAAATCGGATTCATCTTCATCTGCTGCAATATGAATGAATAACTGCCTATGAGCGTTGTTTTGTTCTTCCCAGCTGCATCGTGGATACGCCTAACTGTCCGCACATCCTGCCGAAACAGTTTCCAGCAAGCAGAAGAAGAAGAAAATAAGGAACCCGAAAATTTTCATTTCGAATCTGCCAATTGCAGAATTCTGATCTCCATTTATTGGGTTACAATACGAATTTGGATCAGTACTTCGTGGTTCATTTGAATTTCAAATCATTTCTGCATATTAATATGTTGATCAGAAAAGAGGCTTATTCCCCTCTTCCCTACGGTCATGGCCGGGTCGGGCCAAAATGAAAATTTAGCCGGCCCGGCCCATCCCCCCGGGCCAGATTCTGAAGAGTCAGAATTCAGATGATTTTTTTAAAGTTTCGTTGCTTTTGTGAGGCCGGAATACTTGCGAATTGTTTTTTGAGGTGGAAGTCAATAATATGTTTTGAGGAACTTAAGAAAAAATAAGCAAATCAGCTCATCATGGCACGCAGGAATGTTCGGAATGGCTTTTTTGGAATTTATCGGAATGTCGAAAATTCCGATGTTTAAGATCTCGGAAGTTCGGAATTTCAGAGGACTTCGATTAAAAAGTTTTCAGAATTTCGGAAGTTTCAAAATTTTTTAAAGGTTGAATTTTATAGCGGAAATTTAATTTTCGAATCACAAAAACGCCAAAATCTTTTGAAAATTTACGGAAAGATTTCGACAGCGCAAAAAATATCAAAATTAATTTTGTTCGAGACCCGCAAATGTTTCTTTCCTTACCGTAGTCAAAAAATGTCTAGTTCCGAAAAAAAAGCTTCGGAACAATTCCGATCGGAACTGGATTTCAAAAAAAAAGCTTCGGAAACAATCCGGTCGGAATTTCATTCCGAAAATGGTTGGAATTTCGGGAATTTCCGGAATTCCGAGTTCCGGTTCGAACATCCGTAAGGGTAAGGCCAGGCGGGAATTTGACGTATATGTCCGTCTTCATCTTCTCGGCTCGCCCTAATATGTTATAGGACTAGAATCTACTTTAAGGTTTTTCTCTGAACGTATCCTCCAGCGTTGTGAAATCGAATAATCGGGTTGGCTATGAGGCAGAATGAGGAGGGGCGATCTGTTAATTTCGTCTAGTTTTGCCCGTTTCTGATTCCCAATTTAATGCATATTGCAGAAAAGACAAATAACAATTATATCTTTATTATTAACAGTTTTTGATGAAAAGGGGCTTCCGTTCCCGCGAGGTTCAAGATTCTGATGTTGTTAAAATTAAGGCGTATAATTGTTACTGAAATTTGGAAGAAATGTTAACTGGTTTGTAGCAGTTGAAAGTCTCACCAGGCGAACCACACAATTCTGGTTTTCTTTCCATCATACGACTCGACATAGGTTGTGTTAGTGAATATGTCTTCATTCACTTTGACATAAGATATTCCCATGGGATACTTTGTAGCATACCACGATCCATTGTCACAAACAACTCCGAAATAGGAGAATAATTCGAAAGAGCTTGCCGGGATTAACGCGTTTCTGCCAAGAGCGGGAATCATCTAAAACTTGAATATCAACAAAACGATCTGCAAATTATTTTCACATACAAAGAAACGATTTGCTTCAGGAGGCAGTGGAATTTCGGTTTCATTGAATTGTGATGCCATAACAAAGTTATTTGGACTGACACACGTGGCATTTGCAGCAGATCCTGCTAATTGAGTGAATTGGTAATCGGATGCATCGGCTTCTGCTGGAATATGAATGGAAAACTGCCAGATTTGCTATGAACGTTATTTTGTGCTGGTTAATCAACATCTTACACAATCTAAGCGACGAGAAATCCGGGCATTCGCAACTGTCCGCACACTCTGCCGAAACTTTCGCCAGCAAGCAGAAAATGACAATAAGGAAACTGAGATTTTTCATCTCGGATCTGCCAATTGAAGGGTTTGGGTCTCCTTTTATTGGGTTTCGTTATGAATTTTGATCAGTAATTCGTGGTTTATTTGAATTTCAAATCAGTTCTGCATATCAATATGTATGTTGATCAGAAAATAGTGTCAGGAATTGTTAATGGTTTTCACATCATAATACTAAAGTGGACCACAAAGCACAAATAAAAAATATATCTTTATTAATAACGAGAAAGATAACTTTCCATTTCCAAATCACGAAATTATCTTGGCACAAGCCACGGTAAGGCTCTGAACTCCATAGCCATATAAAGATAGGCATCTGAAAAAAATGCTAGAGTAAAATTCGTTGTCAGAATTTATACTAACCCTTGGTCATCAAGGAAACCGTTCTGGTCATTTTTGGTGACCATCATCTGAAGGCACATCTGACGTCCAAGGATCCCATCAGGTTGTCCTCTGAAAAAATGATAGCCTCCCAGGCGTTGCATAGTTTTATCAGAAACATCGAATGCCTGAAAATATTTCTGTATATCTTTTCTGGAATGTGCTGAATTTCTTACAGTAATGTTCTGACATAGTTTGGTTACTATGGGCTTTACACACTCTTTCTTCTTGTCTCCATCGATCCAAATGCCAACACCCATGAATGCTGTTATACTGCTCTCCATTTTTTTCATAACGTTGTCTGAAAATTCTTCCAAAAAAAAAAGTCTTTTTCGTATTCAGAAGTTCAGAAATTCTAAAGTTCTGAAAATCAGTGTTTTTCTACCGTAGCCTCCATCTTGCTTGACATTTAACCAAAATGAAAGAAACCTTGGCCCGCCTTTTTTTTGTAAAACAAAAGTTTCTATAACTACATCAAAAGGTTAACGACTTTTTGATGTCGCCATGACAAACTTGACAAGTCAAGCACCGGCTAAGTCCCTTCGGACAACTTTCAGTTTCTTTTCTTTCGAAAGACGCTATGAAAGCTTCTCTTTTGGTCCTTGCTCTCGCTGTTTCTGTTTTTGTATTATTTGAAAAATCGGTCAAACCGAATAATGTCCAATCCATATCTTTCACAGGTACCGAGAAAAAGTTGGTTGAAGTTAAGTGTCGGAGATTTTGAAATTCTGAAATTAAGAAATTTGGAAGCTCAGAAATTCACAAATTCACAAATTTACAAAAAATCCTAAAATTCACAAGTTCACAAATTCAGAAACTCCAAAATTCAGGAATTCGAAAATTTTAAAATTCCATCCAGGCTTCCGGGCTTCCGGGCTTCCGGGCATCCGGGATTCTGGAGATCCGGGATTCCGGAGATCCGGGATTCCGGAGATCCGGGTTTCCGGTATTCCGAAGATCCGGGCTTACGGGATTCCGGAGATCCGGGCTTCCGGGATTCCGATATTCCGGAGATCCAGGCTTCTGGGAATCCGGGAATTCAGGCTCCCGGTCTTCCGGGAACCGGGGCTTCCGGGCTTCCAGGATCCCGGAGGTCCGGGAATCCGGGCTACCGGAATTCCAGAGATCCCGAGCTACCGGGCATTCTGAATAAGAAGATTTCTTGGAATTCCAACTGTTTATTAGTCTGAAAATGATCTATCTTTTCTCGTTAATAATGTTTTTTGCTTTTTTTGTTGACATCTCATTAGTTATAATTTTCAAAAAAGTAAGTTCCGTGTCATCAAAAAAAAACTTTACGATTTTTTTCAACATGGCATTTTTGTGATAATTTGTCTATAATAAGATTTCCTTTGAGACCTTTTTTTCAAATTGTGATTTTTTTTTCGTTTAGAATTTTCAATATTTTAACCTATCCGAATTGGTTCTTAATTAAGTTCACGTAGCCCGTGGGTGTAGCGTATTCTCAGAATTTTTAATTAAGAATTTTCAAAATTCTTTTGCTGTTGTTTGATTCAAAATATGTATACGGAAAAACAAAATCTCAACGAAAATATTAATTTTTCAAAAATTTCATAAAAAATCACAATGCTCGGCACCTGTATCTTCAAAGATATCTACTTGGAAACTCCAGAATTTCTGAAATACTCCCTACATACTTGTGCCATAATTTCCGCCCCAATTTCTTTTCTTGGATTCTACATAATCCTGTTTAAGACTCCAGATCTTATGAAATCTGCAAAATCGTACATTTTGAATGTGCACCTATCGATTGTGCTATTCGATTTTTGTATTGGTTTTTTGGCCACACCATTTCTCTTATTTCCGGCGATGGCTGGATTTCCATTAGGCTTATTTCAATATTTTGGGGTTCCTATAATATTTCAAACTATTATTGCATTCTTTTTTCTAGGATGTGAGTTTTGCAAATTTTAAAACGTTCGGTGCCTTTGACTTGAAACCAAAGTCTAGCGTCAAGGAACTAGAAACAGTAACTATGATTCTCTAGGCACATTTTTGGATACCTTGCACCGAAAATGCGGAAAGGCACAGGAACCGCGCAGTAAAAATAGGAAATTTAAGAAAATTTGGATTTTTGTAGAAAAAAAATCTAGAAACTTCAAAGTATTTTTCAGTTGCCTCGTTCGCAATAATGTCACTTTTCGAGAGTCGATTTTTCATAATCTGTGAATTTCCTGGAAAAAAATATTGGAAGTTTTGGAGGCATATATGGTTCTATGGACATTATATATTTCATAGTCTTGCAATGTTTTCCCTATACTTTACAGTTCCTGAACAAGAAACTGCAGTGAGAAATTTGAAAGAGGTATGATAACACTTACTGTGACCACTCTATCTTCAACTTTGAGCCAATTTATCTCGGTTCTTGTGAAAGATATCAAAAACATGTCAACTGATAAAATTTTGTTGATATTATGATAAAAATTTTGCTAGGTGACTATTTTTTTATATCTTTCACAGGAAATGAGATATATAGGCTCAAAGTTGACCACCCCAAAAAAAGAGGTTTCAGAGTCTTCCATGTCTTCCGGATCGCATCAAATCTGGCCCGATATTTGTGCTCAATGACGAAATTGGGTTTCATGTGTTTATAATGATATCAACTATTTTTATTGTAACCATAGAAGTTTGTCTATTATTCTATTTCCTTGTAACCGACATATCGAAAAAATTGAAAAACAGTAACCTGTCCCAAAAAACCGTGCAAGCTCAAAAACTATTTCTAACGGCCTTATTCCTACAAATTGCTGTACCCCTGACCACTATCGTTGTTCCATTGATTTATATTTTTTCTTCAATTATCGTTAATTACTATAACCAAACATTCACAAATTTCGCTATGATTATGGGCTCCACTCACGGATTCATGTCCTCAATTGTCATGATTATGGTGCATCGACCATATCGGGAAGCATTCATGGCTATGATTGGGAAAACAAAGAAAATTGTGTTGCCGGTGGTTTCCATGAAAACGACTAGCGTTTATGTTCTTAATTGAAGATTCAACTTTTTTTGAAATATGATTTTTAGTATTTTGCCATAATGAACATTTTGTATATTTGAAAATCTGTTTTCTCCTAAAACTGTCCAATAACAACACCAACTGAAGGTTCTCTCTTCAAAAACTGTATCATTATTTTTCAAACATGTCTCCTGATGTCTGAACAAAAATGTGTTTTGTTTTTGAGTTCCTACATGTTCAGTTTTTGAAAAAAAAGCTTCGAAACAATTTCAACAAAAACAATCCAACAAAAAATGCGACTGTAATTTCAAAAATAGTTATTTCGAACCTCCGGATTTCTTCAAATTGCCTTTACACACGAGTGCTTTCATATCCTCAGTTTTAGAGGCATGTATGGTTGTACGGACATTATATATTTCATATTTTCACAATTTTTTCGTTTTCTATTTCCGTTCCTGATCAAGAAATGCCACGAAAGAAGCTGACAGGTGTAGGATTAAATTTTGAAGCACTCAATCAGAAAATTAAGATTCCAGGAAATCCCATGTCTTCCGGAAAGTTTCAAATCGGCTCCAATTTTTGTGCTCGCTGACGAAATAGGGTTTCAAGTAGTTCTGATGATAACTGCTACTGCTATCTTTATAAAAGAGTTCAGTCTATTACACACATCATGAAATACAATTTGGGGTATTTTATTAGTCAAAATAATTATGATTAAAGTGTCTATTTAATCATCTCTAGTTGAAATATTTTTTCTGTTTTTTTCAGCTACAACTATAACGTATTAGCAAGAAATTTAATTAACTATAAGAGCCTCTTGTTCAGATCTTTGTTTTTTAGGTTGTTAGTTTTCGGGGAACGTAGTCTCTAATAAGGTTCCTTTTTTCCATTTTCAAAGAACTTTCTCTACCCATTTTCCAAAAATGAAATGCTGGACAGTTGTGTTTCAACTGTCCAGCATTCATATTTGTAATCTCCGGAATTCTTGAAAAGCTCTTCTTCGAAAATACATGTTATGTTGCCTAGTTCTGTATATAACAGAGTTATTAGGTTGGCTAATAAGTTTCTTTCGATTTTGAATGTTAACTTTGAAGATTCATAACTGGTCAGTGGGATTGTTGTTCTTGACAGATGTTTTTTTTTGTTGGATAGAGTTTCTCACGGACTTGCTCTATATATTTTGGCTAACTCCTCTTTCTTGTCGTTCGCGAGCATGCCGCTTTCTTTCGTCACTTACCGTCTACACTTTCAAAACTGCGTTTTATTTTAATTTTTTTCTGGTTTAGAAAATAATCCTATTTGTAAGAAAATGAAAGAAATAGATGGAAAAGGATCTCCTACTGTCCCTACCATCAAAAACTGGACCGATCGGTTCGAAGACAAAAATTTAGAATCGGAAGACGAAGCTCGGTCCGAAAGTTGGATTTGGTCCTATTGAAGAATCGTGTTAAAGCCGATCCGGTTCAAACCACTTGTGAAATGTCAGAGGATTCACCCTATAGCCAACAAAGCGTTGTGACCGGATTGAAGTCTCTTGAAAACTTCAAGAACTGAGTCGATTCGTACCCCATCTTTTGAAGGACTACGGTATGGATCGCTGTGTAGACATGAGCATGTTTCTCCTATCATTTCTTCGCTCATTCAGTTGGGTGGATGATCTAATTACCGTAGATAATAAGTGGATAAGTTACTCTATCAATAAGCAAAAGGGTCAGTTGATTGACAAAGAAGAGCTCGCTCTGGACGTCTCGAAACCTAAATTTCATGAGAAAAGGGGTATGCTATGTGTTTGATGGTCTGTCAAAAGAATGGAGACTGGGAACTTTTCTTTTGCACCCGCCGTATTCTTCAGACCTTGCCCTTTCGGATAAATGGTCTTTTGGGGCTTTTAAACGCCATCTCGATAGAAAAGACTTTAATTGAAAAGATGACAACAAAAAGGAGTTGATCCACTATTCCGATCGCAGCCATCCTCATTCTAGGCCAATGGAGTTAAGAATTAATTGGAGCGTTACCAGACACCTGTCAATGCTCATGGATGTTACTTTGATTGATCTAACTTCCTCTGCTTTGAGAAAAATTTGATCAAAAATTTCACCGAAATCGAAAGAATCTTATTAGCCAACCTAATGCTTTGTTGAGATTTAGCAAATTTTTGTTCACATTGTCGCAACAAAAAAATGTATCATTAAAAACACATGGACCCCAATTCGGTCAGTGACCACAAATATCGGAAACGTTTTTGAATAATCAGGAAGACATGGAATATCCTGGAACCGTTTTCAATCCATACTTTTTTCAAGTTTTCATTCTACAGTGGCAAACATTAGTGAGTGTCACTCTATGCTTTTGTTCACAACTTTGCTCAAACATGACCAATAATCAAAAACTTTTTTGTTAAATTTAGCTGAATTTCCAACAAAACGTTATATAAGTTTTTTGAAACTCGATCAATTGCTGTGTCTTCTGAATCTTCGCAGACGTGACGATGACTCCAGATGAAAAAGAAATTTCCGTCAGAAATTTTTAAAAGATTGGTTTTTGGATGAAAAATGTTTGCTGTAGATCAGGTATATACAAAAAAAATTTTAAGCGGTTTGGGATACTTGCTCTTGAAATGTGCTCACTGAAGCATAAAAGGTATAGTTCAGGAGTACGGCTATAACTCGGCTCAAAATGATCCGAATTTGCTTAAATTTTGAGAAAACGTGTGTCTCTAATTGTTCTACAACATACATACATAAAACATACATACATACATAAACTTTGGATTTTGTCACGAAAGAAGATGTCACGAAAGAAGCTGATAGGTCACGAAAGAAGCTGATAAATGTCACGAAGAAGCTGATAGGTGTAGATATTTGCACATTTTGAAGCACATTTTGAAGCACTCAATCAGAAAATTAAGATTCCAGAAAATCCCATGTCTTCCTGACTATTTCAAATCGGCTCCGATTTTTGTGCTCGCTGACGAAATAGGGTTTCAAGTTGTTCTAATGATAACTGCTTCTGCTATCTTCATTACAGAGTTCAGTCCATTAGTCAGGTTTCTTGTACACGATATATCGGATAAGTTAAAGAATCATAGCGAATCTCAAAATTTAGCAGAAATTCAAAAAGCTTTCCTCTTGGCACTATTTCTACAAACCATTGTACCATGCTGACCAGTGATGGGAAGAAACGCATTTTTCCGAAATACGGAAAACGGAAATTTTTTTCCGCGAAAAACGAAAACGGAAAAAAATCTTCTAAAATCGGGCGGAAAACGGAAAACGGAAAACTAAAACGGAAACGGAAATTTCTATTTTTCGTCTATTTTTCAGGATTTTTTATCGCTTCAAACAAAAAACAAACAGTTTTTAACGTTTAAAGACCATATCTGCATCACCTTCCATGCTTTTTTTCAAGCCAGTTTCAGTTTAATGTTTTCGTTGTTTTTTTAATTTTTTTCCGTTTCCGCTGTTAAAAAAAATGGCGGTTTTACGGAAAACGGAAACGGAAATATAATTTTACTTTTACAAAACGGTAACGGAAACGGGAATTTTTTTTCCGCGGAAACGGAAACGGAAAAAAATCTCTAAAACCCGGGCGGAAAACTGAAACGGAAACGGAAATTCCTCCCACCACTGATGCTGACCTAGAAAACTCAATTTGCAAAAGTTCGGCTCTTCTAATAGAGGTTTTACAGTAACCCAGATTTGAAAATAATTGATTCAAAAATACAAAGCAATCATTTTTGTTCTCTAATAAACTACAACGAAACAACTTGTAATCTCTATTGATCATTCTTATCATAGAATTCATAAACTCCACTCTTCTGAAACAGAGATTCTGCAAAAAGTACAAATGTCCGAACATTGAGTTTTGTAAAAATGAACTGTAACTAAAGTGGATTCCGGTTCATCTGCTTTCCTGAACCGATTAAGACTCAACTGATAAGCATATAGCAAACCGAAGAGCAGAATAAAATAAGAAGAGTCGAAAGTTTGAAAAACAGCAGGTTTGGTATAAAAAGGGGAAAAATACATCTCTTTGATCAAGCATGATGGTGACAACCATGATGGTGAGTAAACTTTTTGAACAAATTTTAGATTTTTCATATTCAGAAGATTCTTGTTCTGGCCGTACTGCTAGAAGCCACTTCTGCATTCGTCCCAATCACCGGACAAGCTCTCGTTAACTATGTCAATTCTGCCCAATCCATGTTCACCGCTGAATATTCCAACGTCACCGAGGAATTCAAGAAGTTCCGTGTGATGGATGTCAAATACGCAGCTCCACACTCCCCCGAGCTCCGTGCTAGCCAAGTCAACACAGTCCTTCCTTCCATCCCAACCTACTTCGACGCTCGTACCCGTTGGCCTAACTGCAGATCCATCAAAATGATTCGAAATCAAGCAACATGTGGATCCTGCTGGGCTTTTGGTGCTGCTGAAGTCATGTCAGACCGTATTTGCATTGCTAGTATGGGCACCAAACAACCAATTATCTCTCCGACCGATCTTCTTTCCTGTTGTGGAAATTTCTGTGGTTACGGATGTAAAGGAGCAAGTCCACTGCAAGCTTTCAGATGGTGGAATAAAAAGGGAGTTGTTACTGGGGGAGACTACCGTGGAAGTGGATGCAAGCCATATCCATTTGCACCATGCACTGCTTTACCTTGCACAAAGTCCGAGACCCCAAGATGTTCCTTGAACTGTCAACCAGCATACTCAAAAGCCTACTCTAAGGACAAGTACTTCGGTTAGTGACATTTAGGTGTCCAACCAACTTTTAAGCATATCATGCGTTTCAGGAACCCCCGCGTACATCGTTGGCATGGACGTTGCTGCCATCCAAACCGAAATATGACCAATGGACCAGTGGAGGCTGCTTTCATTGTCTACGACGACTTCAATCACTACAGAAGCGGAGTGTACAGGCACGTTGCCGGAAAGCTTGTCGGAGGACACGCTGTCAAAATTATCGGATGGGGAATTCAGAATGGAGCTCCATACTGGCTGATGGCCAACTCTTGGGGACCTTACTGGGGAGAAAACGGATTCTTCAAGATGCTTCGTGGAGTTGACGAATGCGGAATTGAATCAACCATCGTCGCCGGTAAACCTGATTGTGGCTGTAATTAATTTAATTGGGTTTAATCAACAAATAATTAGCAATAAAAATTCAGTATTATTAAACTTAACAACAAAATTGCAGAACAAAATTTTGGATAATAAAACATGTTTTTCAGTTGACTTTGACCATTTTCAGGAGTCTAGAGCTCAACTCTCAAGTGTCGAAACGCTTTGAACTATTTAGAGAAACTCACAGAATTTTTGAAAATTCTTAGCTTTTCAGGTATTTGTTGATTTCTGAAAGACACATTTTTTTCACATTTTCAGTACGAAAACGGACAAAATAGGGCAGAATCTTGCAGAAATCGGCAAATAAACGAAAAACTAGGAATTTTTAAAAAGTTCTAAAAATGCAAAGTTTCAAATCTAGGTATGTTACAAGAATCGAGAAAATGTTTTTATTCAATTGTCTGCTAATTGTTATCAACTGATATGATTTCTCTGAATTGGTTCGATTCGCACAATTCTCAATACTGATGATATCATTAATTAATAACAAAAACAACTACGGTTGTTTTCAAGGATTCCTCTCGCACCTCCACCTTGTTTGTTCTTCTAATCATATCAAATAATGCTCTTCGATATGGTCGATGCACCATAATCATCACAATTGTCGAAATAAATCCATGAGTTGATAAACAAGTTATTGCGATATTTGTTAAGGACTGGTTATAATAATTAAAGATAATTGAATAGAAAAAATAAACCAGTGGAATTAGGAGAGTAATCAGGGGCACAGAGATTTGAAGGAACAGTGCCATAAGAATTTGTTTTTGCATTTGCACTGTTTTCTGAGATATTTTGGTATTTTTCAATTTGTTCGATATATCATACACAAGGAAGAATAGTAATAGATGGATTTCAATAGTGACTATTGAAACAACTGATATCATTATCAGTAAATAAACTCCAACTTTTTTTTGTAGCCAGGGTATGCATTCTACCGTAACGGTGTACAAAGCTTAATGTCACTCTGCGTACAGCGGTCGTCATCACCCTTATGTTTACCATCGGGCGCTCACTCCTCCTTTGCCCGTGTGGCTCAGCTGGTAGTGGTGGTGGCCGCACCTTCAATATTCACCTCACAAGTTCAACTCCTCGAGGGGCATATTTAAATTTTTCGAGAACATTATTTTTCTTCATGTCCACCAAGGCTGTGCCACGGTCGGCCGCGGCCGGCTTTGACTAGGCCTGAGAAAGCTGCGGCCTCAGAGGCCTGAATACAAAAAGCCGCGGCTAGCCGCGGCCGGCCCAGGCTAGCCGCGCGGCTTTTTGGAAGAACTTTGAAAATGAATAATTTTTTTCCTGAATATATATTTTTCCCAAAAAAAAACAACTACCGGAGGGACGGTTTTGAGGTACACAGTCTGGAATCCAATGAAAACTATCCGGACAAAATGATTTTCGAGGATTCCGGAATACGAAATACGGATTCTGCGTTCTGTCGTCTCTAATTACTAGGATTGTGATAAATTTGATCAATAAAGACATTTTTCAGATAATAACATGAAATTTGAACACTTTCCGCGAAAAAAAATTTCCGAAAAATATTCAGTTTTCTAGATTTATGTTCAATTTTTTGTACGAAAGACCGGAACACGATTTGCGAACACACATTGAAAAGTTTGCATATGAATAAGTAGATATACGTTCCGAATTATTCAGAAAAAAAATAGATTTCACTTCATCGGATTTTCATCAGGCTAGCCGCGGCCGGCCTCGTCCGGCCGCGGCTTTCTTGGCTTTGGGGTAAAAAGCCGCGGCCGGCCGTCACTTGCCACAGCCCGCTTGCAACTCACCTTTAACTAAAATTTTTCGATTTTTCCTCATACCTCTATTAAACTGTTCAGAGCCATTTCCTGGTCAGGGACTGAAAAATAAAAGGAAAACATTGCTAAGCCATTGAATGTATAATGTCCGTACAACCATATACGCCTCCAAAATTTCCAATATTTTTTACCAGGGAAACTACAAATTATGTAGCATCTACTCTCAAATAGAGCCATTATTGCCAGAGAGGTGCCTTAAAAAACCATATATAAAAAAAAGCATTTTCAGACTCACATCCTATTAAGAAAAACCCCGAAATCGTTTGAATTATCTTAGGAACCCCAAAATATTGGAATACTCCCAATGGAATTACAGCCAATGCCGGAAATAGGAAGAATGGCATGTTCAAAATGCCTAGACACAAATTGTGTAGCACAATCGATAAGTGCACATTCAAAATGTACAATTTAGCGGATTTCATATGATCTGAAGTCTTGAATAGAATCATGTAAAATCCTAGAGGTGAAATTAATATGGAAATTGAAGCACTTGTGTGCAGAGAGGTTTTTAGGAATTCCGGAGATTCAAGATAGATATTTTTGAAAATGCAAGTGTCTAGCATTTTTTGTTGAATGAAAATGTGAAAAAAATGCGTCAATTTGACAGAATACGTTCCCCGAAAAGCCAAAAAAAATTACTAGAAAACGGGTTTATTAGGTTTTCTGATAATCCATTACCTCATTGTTCATGACTAAACAATGAAAAACAAAAAACATATGATTCTGGGAATTCATACCAGAAAAATGATTTCATGATAATTTTTTTGCGAATGTCAAAATTTTCCCAGCAGCTTTCTCAAAATAATACTTAAGACCCATTCTCTGAGAGAATTGAAATCGAGTCAACAGGCGATGGCAATGGAAAAATTCAAAATGGTCGTAGGAGTCTGATATTGTATGTGGTGGGTATAGGGGCTACTCTAAGACTTTGACCATGGTTAAAGCGTAACTTACTAGTTAGAGGGAACAAAAACAAAAAAACAAACGTTGATTAGATTTTCTGAAAATTCGTAAATTTTTTTCCGGAAATTTTGTTCCCGAAATTTCTTCCGAATTCGGCCCGGCCCTTCCCGCCTAGGACAACTTTTCGAAAATTTTACTTTTCAAATGTGCCAAAATATTTTTAATAGCACAAGTATTAATCCAAGTGCATACAACCATCCGAAAATGTCAATTTAATTTTATTTATGTTGTTTTTCGACAGAATCGGTGTTTTTCGACCGAAACACCCCGTGTTTGCAGACTCAGTACAAAAAATAATGTGACTTGCACTGAGTCTCTGACACTTCCGTTTCCACAAAATTATGCGTCTTTGAAAAACAAGGGTCTTAGTAATTATTATAGCAATTAAAACATGTTATGATGACTGGGCCAGTATATATATATATATATATATATATATATATACACTAAACATGTTTTAAAAAAGAGAACCCTTGTTGAGATTATGAAAGTTTTTCTTCCCATTTTCAAAAAAAAATGCGTAAGACTTGTATTTTTGAAAACTCATATTTGGAATCCCTAAATTCTTAGAAACCGCCTTACGTATAAGTGCTATATTTTCCGTGCCAATTTTGCTTCTTGGATTTTACATTATCCTTTTCAAAACCCCGAAACCAATGAAATCCGCAAAATGTCAATTTTGAATGTTCACTTATCGATTGTTTTAGTGGTTTTAACCCAGTTAACCAAGATGATAAAGGGTCTAATTCTTCTGGTATTTGACGCAGTGGCATTTGCTCAATTCCGCCCAGAATGCCAACAACCACTTCATTTTGAAGTAAAACAGTGTACCAACACTTCATCGGTTAGATTCCACTTCGATACAATTGCCAAAAAATGTCTTGCCTTCAAATACTCGGGTTGCGGGGGAAATGCCAACAACTTTGTCTCCTACAATGATTGCCAATCGTTCTGTGTTCCAATGGATTATTTCACTTGTCCAGGTGGAAGTGCTGCTGTCGTCGGAAAGAATGGAAAGTCCCACTGTGGAGGAATGGAAAATCTCCAATGCGATGGTCCAAATTCTTTCTGCCTGAATCCAAATTCTTTCTGCCTGAAAATTCATGGGAATGTGCTGTGATGCTGGAGCCAGAGACAAGATGAACGCTGATTACGAAAAAGAGTGCGGTCCAGGAAAGCTGAAGCATCAAATGGATATCGGAGGAATTAACATCCCAATGTTCGGAAAAACATGTGATTCTGCATTCTGTCCACAGAACACCAAGTGCCATCAAGGAAACTATTTTGCCTATTGCTGTGCCTAATTTTCTTTGCTTTTTTTTAAATCCAAGTTTTGCCCAAAAATGAGATTCCTGCCAAACTTTCAGAACCGTCATAATTTTCAGAAAATCTAATCAACGTTTGTTTTTTTGTTCCCTCTAACTAATAAGTTACGCTTTAACCATGGTCAAAAGTCTTAGAGTAGCCCCTATACCCACCACATACAATATCAGACTCCTACGACCATTTTGAATTTTTCCATTGCCATCGCCTGTTGACTCGATTTCAATTCTCTCAGAGAATGGGTCTTAAGTATTATTTTGAGAAAGCTGCTGGGAAAATTTTGACATTCGCAAAAAAATTATCATGAAATCATTTTTCTGGTATGAATTCCCAGAATCATATGTTTTTTGTTTTTCATTGTTTAGTCATGAACAATGAGGTAATGGATTATCAGAAAACCTAATAAACCCGTTTTCTAGTAATTTTTTTTGGCTTTTCGGGGAACGTATTCTGTCAAATTGACGCATTTTTTTCACATTTTCATTCAACAAAAAATGCTAGACACTTGCATTTTCAAAAATATCTATCTTGAATCTCCGGAATTCCTAAAAACCTCTCTGCACACAAGTGCTTCAATTTCCATATTAATTTCACCTCTAGGATTTTACATGATTCTATTCAAGACTTCAGATCATATGAAATCCGCTAAATTGTACATTTTGAATGTGCACTTATCGATTGTGCTACACAATTTGTGTCTAGGCATTTTGAACATG